AAATATCATAATCTTCTCTAATGTGAGATGAATCGCTTCTATAATGTGAGACAGTTCTTAGATTATAAGTTTTGATATATATTTTTTATGATATTAGTGTTTGCTAGTGCCAGAAGGCAAGTGCGTTGCCGCCTGTTAAATAATTTAATTGTTTTAAATTTGACGTTTTTATATGGCTGATTGTGCGGTTTCTAATTTATCCTTCATAGTACCTCTTTTAAAGTAAATAAAGTATTTAATTATTTAAAGTAGCTGATCTGGGTAGAATTATAGTTTGGTTTCCAGGTATCCTTTCAAACTTAAACTCAAAACAACTTTATTCATATTGGTAACCAAGTACACTTTTGAACGCCAACAGATGGTAAATTTACATTTACTACCATTTCGCAAGTCAAGGGTGTAGGGCGGGCAAGAAGAACTGGCAAGAAACACTCCGACACTCATTTTTTGTTTCATACTTATCTACATTATTCAAAACTTATTGATACTTTTTCGGTTCGAGAGTAATTCTCTATTACTTCAAAGCTTACATATAAAAAAGGTGAAAGTTTGAATATGGAATGTTTTCATATTTTAATGAATATATAACATTAAGTACATATAGATTTTACCACAACTTAGCTGATGTTTTGTATTTTATAACTTCACGACTCGCTGCGTCTAAATTACTAAGTAAATAAAACATAATAATTCCCTGTGAAAATAAAACCTCCCATCAAGACAATAGGTATTGTCTCTATGTAAATGAGGAAAGCGTCGTCCAATAGGCGACTGTAGAGGTAATTAAAAATTCAAATTAGAATCGTCCCCTCAGCGACGCGATTACCGAGCATTAATTACTTGCGACCAATTAAACGTTAGGGCGAAAGAGCGATAAACTGACGGACCAATGGGGGAACGCCGCTGAAGCAAGGCGTAGTAATTAAGACGAAAGGGTTGAGTTTTCCGGGCGTGTCGTTTGGGCGTTTGATTGCACCCTAGTACCTACTAATGATCAACTCTAAGGTCCATATTCTAATTCGTATTTCAAGTCACAATCTCGTCTTGAGCGCTGGCAATGTTGAATTTGATACAGAGAAAATGGTTTGACAGCTTGAAACTAGATTTAAGGTTGATTGACATTCCATTCATCTAAATATAAAGTGTCGATCGAGGTCCTAATACAGCATTGTGTGTCTCCATAATTATGTAATATATTTCGCTTAAGATACAAGGACCTCTGAGCTGTTCCAATCTTCGACTGATCTATCTACACCGCATTCAAATTACAGTGCTTGCCACTATACAAAGGATAGTAAAAATAAAATCATTTTAAAAAGCACCAAGTTTATTTTGTCATTGTCTAGGCACCACCCACACTCGACGCGGACATAACTCTAAGGCATATCTCAATCCGTCGCGTTCACCCTTCAAAGAAACAATAACGTAGGTTTATTTGCATGCACCTATTCATTGGAACGTAAAACAGATGTAGGTGGAAAGAATTGAGTTTTCGTTCGCGTCGCTTCCCCCGTTCTAAATGGGCCTTTCACGCACCTCACTACGACTCCAAATGCGCCACTATTTGCCTAAACGAGATGTTTTTATTCTCCTCCACTCAACATTCAATTCGTATTCGTGCAAGGATTAAGCGAATGTATTATTAAAGCGATGGGATTACGTCAACTCTAGACGGTTCGAATTTGCAATATGAATTTTTATTTTCCTATGCTAATGGATTAGGTAAGATTCGGGAATGATAAATCGATTGTTTATTTAAATTTAACCCGATGTTTTGGATACCAAAATGTATACTAATCTTGTATAGGTCGAAGCTTTCGTATCGCAGTTATGTTGAAAAAGAGCTTGTTGTAAAGGGAAGAAACGTTTTTTAATATACATATTTTAAATCATTTCCTATACCATTTTTTGTTTGAAATCAAAGAAGTTTAATATTAAAACATAAGTTTGTTTGTCAAGAAGTGATTATTCAATACTGGTCTATAATTCCTTAAAATATATTAATAAGGTTTTAAATATGGCTATTATATGACATCATGCATCAGTTTTGGAAAAAAACTGAAACAAATAACTGAACATGAGTATGTTATTAAAGGAATAGATGAAGTGTAAATGATCGGGCTCAGAAACTGGGCCTACATCCACCCCCGCCCGCCCGTCACCGACAGAAGAAAAATGCTAACACGCCCCCGCGGAAACTATTAGTTATTTCGGCACCCCCAACGGTCCTACGTATAATTCTATGGGTTATTTTTCACGTTTTCTTACCAGTAATACGTGTGGGTTAAATTTAGGACTCCCATGCATATAGTAAGTGAACGTTTTAATCATCTCGTTTTTACTTCGCTTTTTCCTCCTCATATAATAGCAAGGAAGTGAAGAACGTGCGCAAAAATGTTGTTCATATTTCTCCACAACAAAGCGTACTTCTTACCAGCCACTATGTTGAACAAGTTCCTTGCAATAATGGAAGCTTATGAAAAATTTAACTAGCACCACTCCGTTGTACATTACATAATACAAAGAGCGACACGACGGACCGGACTTACACAGACAAAGCACACAAACATGAGGTCATCTCCCCTCATTAGGTGGTTAGTTTTCCGGGCGTGTCCGCAGACTCCGGTGCGGGGGGCCGCGGGGCTGACGGGAAGTTACTTAATTAATCCCCCAGCGGACGCCATTGGCCGGCTCAGGGCGGTGGAAGCTCGCCCACGCGTTAATTGGGCGGCCGACCCGGGCTTCGTCGGCACAATTAATGAGAAAGTCTGTCTTACACCTTCATATAGATAGATCTACACTTCACGTCTTCGATTATACCTACAGACTTTATATAAAACCCATATAAGTCGTATATCGTAACGTCGATAGCATGTTGCAATCAGTATGTAGTGATAGATCATTTAAAGTTTAAATGAGATAGATATCTAATTTACCTAATTTTTTAAAGAGAGACATTTTTTTTCGAACAGTTAAACCCTATATTGCTAAGCCAGTATAGGGTTAATAAATATCGTAGTTGGAGAGGAGTTGGCTGGAAACTAATATCGCTCTCGTCGCGTCAAGTGAACGTATAAAGCTCAGATTTAGCGAGGGCTGAGCGGGCGTGAACCGCCCAGGTAAAGTACCTACTTACTGCGCGATATACGAGGAAACGTAAATTATAATATTGTGTGTGCGGAGTTAACCCTCTCGCGTTCGTAGAGACCGTGTGTGCGGCGCCCGCTGAAAGAAAAGCAATTTCCTCGGGCGGGGGACGGACGGCCGCGAGATGAGGGTGTGGGGTCTCGCGCGAATATAATTTTGTTCATTTTTTCATTCGGGCGAGTTAATTCGGCTTCGCGGCGTAGTCAGCTATTGATTAGGGCGCGTCTTACGTTTTTAATTTGTTTGCGCGCGCAGCCGCGATGCACCCGTCGAGATGAGACCCCAGCACCCACCGGAGCCCCCCCGGCCCCCGCTCTAATGAAGCCTCCGCTAACTACGGCCACTCTAATAATCACGCTCCTTTTCACAATCACGCTTTGACGACGAATGTTTGCTCCTTCTCCTAGCCGGCTAACTAGCTCTCAGCGCTTCGTTTGAGGAAAAACATTACATTTTCCTTTATAAATCAGGCAACGACTTGCAAAATTGTCTCTCGATTCCTTAAATATAATTGACGAAATGTTTTTAATATCCTTGTTACGTATAATAAGACTGATTTATCTATTTTAGATGTTTTGTTTTTAATCACAAAATATAAATGTTATAATTTACAATAAGATTATTAATTAATAGATTAGGAAGAGTTTTAATTATTTTATCATTTATAGTATGTAACTCAAAGTGTTATTAATATAATATTAATCTTCTTACATAGGTATATTTTTTATAAATTCAAAAAGTTAAGACACATTCCAATTTCAACCATATTTAGCTATAAACAAATAGTTAACAAAGAAACTCTCTAGTAAGGAGACGTCTCGCATACCTCCTTATAGCTGTTTAATAATTAACATGCACCTATATAGAGTAAGAGCGAGCTCATTGGTCATCCACGTCCCCCTGTTCCCCCCGGGGAGAAGGGGGGAGCCTGTGAAACAACACCGCCTGTATGTGACACATTAGTAAATGAGAGTACATTCGTTACGGAGCATTCTCATTGAAAGCCTTTTCAGTGACGACTCGAGAATCAATGCTTTCCGTCGTAGTCTGGGGAAATAAAAACTCCATTGTTATAACCGTTTGTATTACTATCTATTAAAAGAAATGCAGACATTAGAGTATTAATAATAATATATGAAGCCTTACATATTAAGACAGGTTTTGTGGTTACACAGTTTTAATTTAAAAAATTATACGTTCATTCATGCGAAATATCATGATTCCTACACATTGCTGCTTTAGATTTCAATTTCTTGGAAATGGTTGATACTATAACAATGAATAAAGTCAAGTACTTTTCGAAATATATAAGATCTACTTTTTAAATTCTTCGCCATAACAATACCCATTAGGTATACTTACTCGATCGCACTTATAAAAACAATTCAATAAATCGAAAACTATCGTCCCACAGCCATTAAAGCTCAATAACGAATGCTCTTCAGAGCTTACTTTGTTTTATCACTTTCATTTTATTGTTTTAATTTGTGAGGCTGCGCTATTTGCGTGCGCGCAGGGCCACGCCTACCCCGCGTCGGCCAATCACGACCCGCCCCGGCCGAGACGCGCCGGTCACACGTCATGCGACAATGCTCATTGTTTTAATGCAGTGATGCCAACTTAAACATCTAGGCACTTTGACACCTACCTATACTATACACTAATTAATAAAGTAATATGTTGTATTAGTTTATTTAATAGCACAACTTTGACAGACAAATAACTTTTCATGCTTAATTTTTTCTTTATTGATTTCTTCACTAAACACTAAACTTCACTATATTATACAACCTGAACTAGAGGTTGTACTGTATTTCTAAGGTTATAAATGCTCCATTCAAAACACGGTAACCATGGTAACAACACGGTACTATCTAAGCTCCAAGTTTAATGCTGCTTTTGAATTTGAATTAGGTATGTATATATCTATTGACAGATAATTCGTTACATTTTTTTATTCATTTAGCTTAAATCATAATCTTCATTGTAGCCATACTAATTTAATAATATGTTTCATAATAAATACGCACTATTTCATATGGCAACACTGTTGAAACTATTTTGTTTTAGTCCGGTCACTGTGGCTCCCACCGAGCGACAATTTCAATGTCACGTATTGTGATTTTGAGATTCCTCTAAGAGAATAGCCTTCGTTCAGATCTCAATGAGCTATAAACCAACGTCCAAGAAGCTATTTTCAATCTTCACACGTTTTAAAGGTTATTGTGTTTTAAGGTTCATTGTCCGCCTTAATCAGTATGGGCTTGTATTCCAAAGGATTTTTCAATCTAGATCTGGTTTATAGTTTATATTTGTTATATGATTGATATATTAGTTGCCAATGTATTCCGGGAAGATTATTCTCGTTAAAAAGAAGACTACTATACAAATATATGCAAAGTGTTTCACCAATCGTCTAGGACAGCTAGCGGTTATGCCCATGCTTAATTTCACAGTACAACGACTCATAGACAAATTAAAGAGGAGGCAATAAACAAATAAATTACTTGGTTTTTTCAAGTTATCTTAGATGTGCAATAAAAATAATGTTTTCCATAATGTATCTTGTATGAATAGTCATACTGAGGTAGCAATCTATGTGTATATTTTTATGAACTTAAATAAACGAGATTTTTAATAAACCCTAATCACGTTAGTTAAGACTTTTCGCACACTTGTAACTTAGCTATTTTACTAACAAAATGCAATTATTTCAAGAGAAAGGTGATGAAATTATTATGATCATAATTTTTGACAACAATTATAAGCAACTTCTATTTTCTTATTTTTATGCCGTTATGATATTTAATATGAAAGTTGCATGCCGATTTTATATGGCTGATTATGCGGTTTTCAATAATCAATCTGAATGTACCACTTTCTTTGCAAATTAACTATTTATTATTAACATGCTTTATAGAAAATATACAGCTGAGATGCTTATACAAATTCCGATTCTAGGAAGAAAGGCACTTGAGACGCTGTAACGAGTAACTAATATGATTCACGATTCCCTCGCCGCTAAAATACCTAGTCCATGTTTTTCAAGATTCCCTTATTAAATCTACCCTTAGTTTCAGTATAATAATTGCGTGCCTAACTTATTTATACACTCGAACTGTTCACCTTCGTAACAGGTAGAGAAAATATATTCAGACATAGAATATCGAAATGAAATAAAACTATAAAAAACTTGAATTAAATTTACAGCATAATAAGTCGTTAAGAGCGTTGTAAAGGAATAAAATGGAAACTCTTTCACTTATATAAGAAAGCCTTATGTCGCACGAATAACATTAAAGGGGAAAACTAAGCAATTGATAGTAGAAATGGGCAACGAAATAGAAAAATATCGTGGAAAGCATTCGTGGCGTGGTAAAATATTCAATCGGGGCAATTCGGGTCCGCGTATAAATTCGGCCCAGCCATTATTTGTACCGCGTCGCGACCGAATCGCTACCTACATTGATAGTCGTCATTTTTCTACTCACTATCGTTAATATTTTACGGGTGCGTGTCAACGGTTTATGGGCCCACTCTTAACACTAAAACGTTTTGGGCCTGCTCTCTTTGTTTATAAAATTTTACCGCCCAATTTTTTATCGTCGATCGACTACTTGAGAGCCCCTCTGACACGCAGTTTGAACTTTCGATTGTATCTGTTTTATTTGAGTAGAATGTTATAACATGATGGTTTATTCGCATCTTAAATGAATATGTCATAGCTAAATATTCTCAAATATCAAAAATCTTGATCAAATCTTTACAAAAGCAATCAAAAGAATTTCCATCTAAATCCTTAGTTAAATACGAAAATTTCATTTGAAGAATAAACGAGTCTCGGTAATTTTCCGTCGCATTAAACAACGGAGACGCTGAGAAAGCGTGTCATATACTTAATTTATATATAGAAGGGCTCGGAGACATTAAGGACGAATGGGTTCTACCTAACTGTAATTATCCATCCAAGTTTGCGAGCTCAGGAAAAGAATTGCTCTCCTTTGTATGTGAGTGGGGTGGTCGGGTGGCGGGAGGGCTGGGTAGGCTCACATGGGACGCGCTCTAATGAGGTGCCTGAAAGCGACAATGTCTTTGAGCAAAGCAAATGTGTAGTTATCTACATACGTAGAGGGGGAGTTCTATTTCAAATGTGAGTACCTACTGCTGTATTTTGTATGTAACGTTCATTATGGGCCATAAATTATGTTGAATGGTTTTGTAGAGACAGTGTCAGTTTCACGAACTACATAAAGCTCTCTCTCTCTCTCTAATCTCTACCGTTTTGGGGTAGAAAATTAAGAGATAATGAAGAAAATATCTAATATGATACGTTAAAAATAGTTATAAGTATCGTCAAGAATGTTGCTACTAGCAGTGAATACGGGATCTCAAATGTAAATATAACGGCGAACATTGTAAAATCATAAGAGTTGGGGAGTAGATTGGATCGGATGGGCCGAGGTGGTCCGCGACTTCCGCTCCGGGCCCGGTTTTAATTTCCCGGGGCGGGCGGCGTTAAGTTTAAACGCCCGGAGATGAGTCGCACACGTACTAATATCATGCACGACCCGGGCCGTCGCCATAGCGACGCACACTCAAATGACGTGTGTGGCACGGCCCGGGTGTGAGATGGGGGTAATATGATTTGAGCGGCCCCGGCGACACCCCGCCCGCTTGTTTGCTCTCCGATGCAATCGCGATACGACCGCCCCCCGCTACTACATCTCGCCTTCGGTAACCGCATCGGATTCCCTGTTGCAGCCCGCTCTATTGAAATAGATACAGACACCTACATCTACGACACGTTTTGTCGCCCCCAATTTGGCCTCGGTGTTACCTCTTTGCATAACGACCAGTGGCATTATGAAAAGTATTTGAGGATATAATTTTGACTGTTGATATAAAGAAAATAACGTACTTGCTCAGACTCAGCGAACTGTTCTATTTATTATATATGTCGTATACTCTGAACGTACAATATTACGATTAAAATTCAAAATCCTTTATTCATTTAGGTAACACAATGTACACTTTTGAACGTAATAAAGAAATACATACTAAATGCTTCTAATTTTACATTTACTGCCAGTTCTCAAATCAAAGGCGTAGAACGGACGAGAAGAACTGGCAATAAACTCTCCACTACTCTTTTTAATCGCCAAGTTTTGTAAGAAGCTGCAACCATTACACCATGTACCACATAACATCTTAAGTAACTTCTGCTTCACTTTATGCAGTTATTCATATTTAAGGCGCCTTAAAAAAAACAATGAGCAAAGTATAACAGTTCCCTCGATATTCTCATGTAGTGTGGTCGGTGACAATTACACAGTGTCAACGTCCATAAGTCCAGCAAGCGGCCTCATGTATCATGTATAGCACGTTGTGAGCTGTGAACGCCACGAAACGACACAATAAAGCAATCAATTCGCAGCTTCAGTGAGTGCCAGGCTGTCGCAAACGAGCACCACGTCATGTTACCAATGACACAACGAATTCACACATTCATTAATACGAACAAATAAATTACAAGTACATTTAAGAATTCACAAAGTGATTTATCCGACATTATCTAATTGACTACCATTATTGTGATATTCCTGTCAAAAATAAAGCTGAAAGCTAAGTTATTTGCCCATACAGGATTTATTTCGAAATATGTCGATGGCGATACCAAAACAGTTTTCATTTCGAGTAATTGCGGCGCTAACGCCAGCGGCTCTGAGTAATGTCGAGCGTGATATATGCCTTGCTCACTAATAACAGAGCTGGCTTTACGATTACAGCTTTACCTGGCAAAGCCGATTGGTATCGATCCGTGCGACGTCCGATCTCAACTAATGAGTAGAGGATTTGCTAGTCATTATCCACTTTCGACGCTAGCCCGCGGCGGGATGAAGACGTCGCGACGCCGAGGGCATTTAATTTTCTGCGCTTTAGAACTATGAGGTTGATTCTTTTACCACAGATTATATATATTGGCTTGGACAATCGGTTCTATGGACATTAACAAACCATAGATAAGAATATATTTGATTGAGAATAGACATCGTTATGTCGAATATTTCTCGAATGTTTTGACTTCATCACTCTAAAGTCAGTCGATATTATTACTATTATAATACATTATTTTAATAGTAATAATATAAATTTGTATATTATATAACAGTTTATATTTCATATATAATGAAAACTTTATTATTTCACCTGCGACATAGTTGATTGATCCGAATAAGCCAGCTATTTCTGTGAGCTGTGGCTGTGAACAGCTCGCTTTGTAATTCTCGGTAATTGCAACTCCGCCAATAACTTTTAAGGCCACAGTGCAATTGTCAGCAAAGGATAATTTAGATTCCTTTCCGCAAGCGGGTTAAATTAAAAGGATTGATGCAACTTTGTTATTTGAACAATTAAGGCGAAATTGGCTACGCCGCGTCAGCAATATCGCCGGTCGTGTTCAAACCGCACCCCGCTCTTAGCGGTTAGTTAGATTTCTCCATGAAATTACCCCTTTCAAATATACCGGTTCTTGTATTAATGAACGCGGTTTGATTGTACTGGCCGCGTTATTAGTTTATTGTTAATAGGGTGTGAGGTTTATACAGTACTTGTTGATTCGCCTTTTTACACTTAAACATAATTAATTATTCGTCTAAATATCTAGTAGGAAAGTTTTAGTAATAATTTGTCATAAGCTCACGTCTACGAAGTACATGTTTTCTCCTTCTAATGTCCTTTAATAGTTAATGATTATCAACACTGTTTCGTGAACCATTGAATTAATTTCATTCCGTGCTCATTCTATTTGTCAACATAGATAGGTAGTAGGTATCTGTTAGGGGGGGAGAAAGGGGGAGAATTTTTATAATAAAAGGAGTGGGGGTGTAAAATTTTTAAAAAAATTAAGGGGGGGGGGGGGGGGGGGGGGGGGGGGGGGGGGGGGGGGGGGGGGGGGGGGGGGGCCCTGATACTGATACAATTTGAAACATAACCCAGCTCGTTCTTCTTACAATCAGGTTTACCCCGTAACGTTAATTGAGATTCCGACTTAAGTAATAAGTTTTCGTACCGTTAAAAGAGTTACATCGAAATTGGATTTCGTCGTTATATGACGTTAGAGCTTGGTATCAGCACATACAGTTCCAATGCTACCCTCAGCATCTTCTACTGCATTTATCACTGCCCTGATGGATTGTTCGGGCTTATATCTGCTGCTGAATTCCGTAATCAGACGTTTACTGAATTCCACAATTCAGCGCTTTTTAAGGCACTTTCTGCCGCGCACCACCTCTTGTGGAACCATCTGGTAGAGGTATTTCCGACCAATATTTAGGAGCCTGCAATAAAGAGTCGGCAACACACCCGCTAGTTCCCGGCGTTACAGGTGTCCTTGGGCGGTAGTTATTACTTTATTTCACCTGCTAGTCTTCCTCCTGTACCGTAAAAAGTCAGGAAATCAGAGTCAGTTTTACAGACGAGTAATAATATAAGACGATTAAAAATAACTATTTTAATAATTATATTTAAATTATGTTGACCTTTTGAATATATAAAAGCCACACCAAAGAATAAAAAAAACTGTTTCAGGTGGCTCGGACGTGGTTCAATGTTCGTGTTATCCTCAGCACAGACTAGAACACTGCTGAGCCGCGCTCGCGCAGGCCGAGTCGGCATCGACAGGCAATCCACGCTGGTCGATATCGGCGCAGGAGACGGTGAAGTAAGCTGTAGATACGCAGATCTATTTGGTACAAAGTATGCCACCGAAATATCTGCCTCTATGAGGAAAGTGCTTAGTGGCAAAGGGTTTACGTAAGTATTGTCTATCGTAATTATACTCCAGTAGATGTAGTATTAGTGTCAAAGTCTTCTTTTTATGGAACTTGGCTACATATTTCTGCACCTGTCTCGAAAAACTACCATCGTGTTTCAAAACCCATGTAGTTCAGCCTACTTTTCCTGAAAATGTCATTATTTTAGGCCTAAAACGTGCCGATGCCCGATCTCTCCACGATCTTTTCCTTCATACAAGCTAGTGTTAATTGCTCAATATATTGTTTCATTACGTAAGGGCTCATAGACACGTGAACACATGAAACACCAAGCTATGACTGTTCAAGAGTACATATAATTACGGAAGAAGGACTCAAAGCTATGATTTACTTCTGTACGAGTCTAGGCTGTACATTTTGCTTATTCAGGCTTTCTTAGATAAGCGCGACGATTACCTAAATCGTTGGAATTACGCCCCGAGAGTATAGACGCAGGCACTCACTTCAACATATACATTACATTCCTTTCATAGCAATTAACATTTAATTAATCAACATTTATTCCTTTGTTGTACTGTACGAGTGTTAATTTAGACAGAAAATAAAATCCTATATAGGTATAACGTAATGTTATTTTTTTCATTTACTATCTGACCCGGCTAACTTCATTCCGCCTTACAGTCGAATAATATCGTTGTTACATTAGTTAAGCTTATTTTAGGATTTCATTAAAGCTTAGGTTTCCTAGAAAAGCGGTGCCGTTAACTAACGGCCGTCTTTACTTTTTAACATAATGCAAAAAAACAATCATTTTCGCTCGTCCAAGTCACGTTTCCACTCATTGTATTAATTAAATATGCGCACCGCTACACGCGAATAACGTTTAACACCACTATGACGGCCGTCATGACAGCACCGCTATTTGACGTTACGGTGACACTCAACGTTCTCTAGGAAACATACTTACCGATGTTATTTATAGACAACGTATGGGTGACGTCACCCAACGCTACATTACGGCCGTTAGATAACGGCACCGCTTTTCTAGGAAACCTAAGCTTAAGGGATTAACATTAATACAACTTTTTTGCAAATACAGAAATGTTTTATTGCTTTCCATTGCGAAAGAAGAATGGCAGTTTTACACATTAGGCCTATTCTTTCTAGCGCCAATATTGCGATACTGAATGTTAAAGCACTTTCTGATATACAACATTTTTGGATGATGCATCTCCTCATTCACCTCAAGATCGGAATTTCTTGAAGTGACACGAATTCGTCGTAAAGTGATGCGTAGTTTTGTCAACAGATGGCACCACATGCTGTTTGCATTCGTAAAATTAATTTACTTATTGATTGTTATTTTATAACTTATCCGATATTTTATTACTTATTCTGCTATTCGGAGCGGAGAAGAATCCACCAAAAAAGAGATAACTAACATCGGTCCAGCCGATCTTGAGTTCAAAAAAAAATATATATTAATAACACATTTAATAATTCACGCTTTTCAGTGTGCTAGACGTGGAAGACTGGTGGAAAGGTCAAAAGTTCTCTTGTGTGTGCATGATGAATTTGGTAGACCGCTGCATGAGACCACGGACTATGCTGCAGCAGGCCAGGGAAGCGCTCACTCCAGACGGACTGTTGTTGCTGGCTCTTGTATTGCCATATAAGGCGTATGTTGAAGGTCAGTAAAACCTAGTTTCTAGGTAATTAATTAACGATAATTTGTACATGTACATTAAGTAAGCAGAAAAATGGTTGAGTTTCTAGAGCGCGTTCTTCAACATGCCTGATTTGTGCATCTGTCGACCGCTCATCAACAATTTAAAGACTCATTAAGTTAAATATTAAACTAAGTTAAGTAAACACAAACAATTATTACCAGAACAAGTTAACTTCATCTAAAATTATACACTTAAAGGTATGTACCAAATTGCTAACAAAAAATCATGACCAGCAAACAATGTTTTTTGAAACAGCGTCTCCGTGATTTTCATTTTTCATATTCTACTAAACTTTTTAATTGATTTGTTAACAAAAAAAATTGATCTAATTATTCTAGCGACATCGGACCATAAGCCAGAAGAAAGACTGCCCATAACAGGCATCACATTCGAAGAACAGGTCTCCTCGTTTGTGGAGTTCATGCGGGGTTTGGGCTGGGAGATCGCCAGTTGGTCCAGAGTTCCATATCTTTGCGAAGGAGACTTTGCCCAGGCCTATTACTGGCTTGACGACTCTATATATGTCTTTAGACCAATTGAATCTTAAATCACCTTTCTATCCTATATTTATACGCGTTTAAATCTATGGAAAACTACTTGAAGTGGTTTTGCACAGAATTTTCAATGTACAAAACGTTCACTTGTCTCATTTCATCACATCGTTAAACACAATTAGACGGAAAGAGACAAATGAAGGCTTTAGTGACTGTATTTTTTGAATAAGGGTCACACACTGTCTTTAATAACTATTTTGTACAAGATTTGTATGCAAATGGTGCCAACATATATGAGCAGCGCACAAACAGTACAAACTAAAGTGGACATTCCAATTAATTAAGACACTGATTATAAAAAAATCCTTCATTATGAATAAAATAATCAGATTATTCTGCTGTGATTTCGTCTAGGTTCGATAAAAAAAATGATATTATTTTTATGGATATTGCATTACACAGGTATACGTTAATAATACGTACGCCTATACGTATACCACTTTAAACGCTACTTCTTTTGTGAAGCAATTTTAACCAGTTTTTCAGTTCATCCCTAGACGTCACTACCTCAGCCTGATAAAGTACATCGAAATACCTGATCAATGACTAGTATTTTAAAAGATTATCTTAATAAATTGAGTAAACTTACATTATTGTACTTATATTCTTCATCGATGTTTAAAATTAAGCACTCTCAAACCATTGCTTGTTGTGAAACTAAGATAATTAAAATATCTTTAAAATTCTAGATGTGAAAATATTTGTTTTGCATGAATGTTATATTATATGAATGTCTTCACTGTTTGGCATTTGACTTTAAACCAAATTCCTATTACATTGAGGCAAAGATTAACATTCTTATAAAAGTACTATAAGTGTTTTCATATTCAATTATTTATAAGTTCAATAGCTATTTGCGAAGACACTATGTCTAACAAGATTTGATGTGATCAAATGTGGTCATCATATTAGTAATTTCATAAAATGGAATTTTTAAGAATATCTGAATGTTTCTTAGATTTATCAGATCTCATATGTTACTCACCTTCGTACATCCTATAAACAATGTATTTTTAAGTAACATTATATGCTTATTGTTATATCTTTATGCGTAATGTTATAATCATTCCTTATTTCATAGTTTTATTAATACTAATCTGTCAATTATTTCAGCCGTGTATGTGTAGTAATATAATTCAACTGTGTCGTTCTCAAGTTTTTGAAAATCTATTTATGCGGAATCAGTTTAATAAATTTATATGTACCTTATATATTTCTTTCATTTCCCCCTACTCACTTTTCCGTTATGGTAAATAGAAAATATAATCTTGTTCCCGTAAGTGCTCTATAGCAATCTAATACTGTATGGTGACGACATATTAGCTCTGTTTTCACGGAACTATTTCCATACTCATTTTATTGGTACACCTTGCACGAATTGCGAAAACTAGAACACATTTTAATAACTATTTTATGATATATTTCAATTTGCATTAAATGCACAGAATACCCCTCGTTTTGTACAATATTGTTTCCTATAGCTAGTATTTTGAGTGAAAGTTCCGTAGCCTTAGAACATCAACTGCAATGCATCTGTTTCGTTGATATTTTGTAGGAAAAACTGATAATTGTCACATGAAGCGGTGTAAAAACAAAAATTTATTTCGAAGGACCCTTCAATACCCTGGGGAAACATGAATCCGGGCTTTAAGAATGATTGGTTACCAAGTAGAGCACGAAGGTTCATCTTTATATTATGTATGCATAATGGTAATTTTAAATAAAAGAGGCTTGTCAAATCAATTGATTTATTTTAAGCACTGTCTCCGTTACTTTAAAATTTATACGTAAATTACATGGCAAGGCCGATTACAATACAATTAGTTACATCTATACATGACGCCGTCCACACACACTTGTACAAAGAACTGTATTCATCTTACAAAATGTTTAGAATGCAAAAAGGTACTCTATCAACTAAATTACCAGTCACTGGGTTTGCAGAACTATGACTAAAAAATACTTCATGTTTTCGTAATTGGTGCAAAACAAGAAAGTTAAACAATATTTCAAAGTGTTCGGTACAAGTGTGTATCAGACCCTATTTATTAATTTTGAAAATCAGACTAAAAATAAAGCCAAAAACACTCTAATTTTATCACAGTTTTAAGATGCCCAGATTGTAAAAATACCAAAAGAAAATGCTTACATCGAGACTAATCACTACAACTACATTTGTATATAGTGAATACATTTTAAGCAAATAACGAAATATACTAAAAGCTCAAATATAAGAATATACAAAAACAACTGAAAATTATAGCTATAAAGAAATTGTGCGAGATTACAAAATCTATTTTGTATAAAAACGATATGTTCCAACTGCCACCGCTGAAATTAATTTTGACTAGAAATACATTAATACAAGAGATTCGCGTAGGATTTAATACTTATTTCGAATAATTAGTGAAACTTAGGTCTATTGACGATAGCCTCCTATTAAGATGCGATTATACTAACTTCTATATAACTAAGGGTAAAAGAGTCGAGACATAACGCTTACTATTACTCCAGTACATCCAATACGGTTTTGATAAAGGTACAGGATTCATACTTAACCCTATGTCTCGTCCAAAATTCTACCAAAGTTAGTGTGATGTCAAATCAATCAATCCTTACATTACAACCTCTATTAAGATAGCGCCAAACTATATGTATTTTATTAAATGTTTTACCATTAGCTCAAATTTCATAACCCCTAATAAATGTGTGGTAAATTGTATGATTTATATGAAATCTACGAAAATAAAGCGGGCCATAGACGGAGCGCATGTTGCTGTCAAGACCGACTGCAACATGCGGTCGCCGCACGGCGATCTGCAGTTTCCATACTTAATTCATATTCGCAATACACGGACCGCTCGAGCAGTTCCTGAGCAAACCGCATATTGCAGTCGGTCTTGACTGCAACATGCGCTCCGTCTATGGCCCGCTTACGGTTATCGTATCATAACTTTCTCGTTAAGACCTCTGAAGTAGTAAGTAACAATCTACTTGGGCTATAAAAAATATTTTTCATAAATTACGTCAATCATTACGCAATTCTTCAATCGCATGTAATTTGTCATTGTATGGATTTCACTAGTAACTTCAGACACTTTTATAATTTGTCATTATATGTATGTAAATATAGTTTGGCCTATCTTTACGACTTACCTAATACAAAACAGGCTATGCCCCAATTATTGCACTTTAATTTTCACGAAATTTTGCAGTTACGTGATGTTTTGGAAGAAAAGCGTTCAATATAAATACTAATTTAAACTAATCAAAATGATGTTTAGAATTTCTAAATTATAACCACTTTCTGACAATTTTCAGGAAAACCGTTTTAACAAACATAATAAAATATAATGTCCAGGAAGATTCTAATACGAGTCTCAACGCGCTCAGAGTTGTTTATTAACTAACTAAACCATTTAGTTATAAAAGATTAAAAATGTCACATTCAGAAGCTAAAAATATTTTACTGAAAGGAACCCGAACATCAGTCTACTGTTAAACAAAACGACTCTGAGTACGGATTAAATCCCGTTAAACTTAATATAAAAAATACACGAAATACATAATAAAACTATCCTATACAAGCGTTAGCCTACACAAGTTACTTGCAGTCTTCAATACTAATCTAACACGAGACAAGAGATGGCGCTGCATTTATGAAGGAGGTGTTAAGTAAATTGTATAACTAAACTACAAATACAGCACACTCCCAATATTTTTTTTTTTAAATTATTGGTTAAGGTTTTTAATAGGCGCAATCGTTGCAACATCAGCGTGCATAAAAATGCATAAAATAACGCCGAAATCCGCTTTTTTTAATTTACCGGCGCAACATTTATTGCAATCATGACATTGCACGTCACTTAGTATGGTGTAAACTGGCAAATTTATATTACAAATTAACCTTTTAATCAAATAAATTAAATTTTCAACAGATTTTACTCTTGCTGTAAATTTCATACTAGGAATGGAAAACAATCGTATTGTGTCACAAAATATTTTTCGTGTTTTCAGTTACAATACGATCTTGCGAATTGAGCGCTAATATGAAGAATCTTATGTGCGTAACCAGGAGCGCTGTATTTTTCATATGAATATTTTATAGACAGAATTCATTACACTTGAAACTCAGGTTAGAGCTGGTGTTTTCTATGAAAATGAGTGCTGTATGGATCTTCTAAAACACCTCCTTCCAAATTCTGATAACACTTTCCAATACAAACTGTATAGGGAAATACGTGAAAACTCATAATTGATATACATACTTGCTTGACATTTTTATGTTAAAAGTAGATTTAATAGTGAGATTTTTTTTCTTGCTCGAAATTTCTTTCTTCTATGGAATTAACTACATTCCTCAGACATGACGTCACAACACTTACTTTGCATACAGTTGTTATTTTAAAATTGTGAATAAATGACGTCTTTAATTAAAAACACCTGGACGAAAAGTTTCAACATTTTTGAATTTTTTCCTTTTTTTTTCAAACCAATGATTTCCATTGTCGTACAAATTACTATATGCGATAAATAATCTTATATAATTAGACACTACGTAACTATGTCTATTACACTTCTATCACAGTGTAAATAATGCACTTAAGACTTACTTCAATGAGACAATCCTAACGCAATACAACAACTATACATAAACTTAAAAATACATAATATAATTAATTATTTAAAGGCGTTTGCATCCGGGAAAATGTATGTGATACTCGCGTAAATTATAGATATGACACAAAGTATATATGTGTATTATGTGTATCAAAAACCCTGTGAAATGTATGAATTCCGCATGTTGTATTAATTACTTAATGTTCTTCAGCTTCCAAAGCCATTTTTCCTAACCCTCTAACTGATATTAGATTTAAACTGTAATTTTTTTTTAATCCGACACTATCCACATATTTATATGTTCGCAAGTGAATTTACAGTAGCAATATTGTGGATATTATGTATTTAATATTATATGCTTTGTTATACATATTTTATTATTTCTCGACATTAAATAAATAAATATTTTTTTATTTTGTATTAGGGAGCGTTCAAGTAATACGTAACCAATTTCTTTTTCCATTTGTAAAACGTTACGATGCGGGCGGGGATTGAATTACGCGTGTTAATATTATTTTCGACTTCCCAGTACTTGACACCACATAATAGTATCTTTTAGCTATAAAGAGTCACTGGGTGCTCACGTTTTACTATTGGGTACACAAAAACGTTACGGCGCGCTACACGAGGGGGGTGGGTCAACAATCTCCAAAAATTGCGTGACGTCATACTTGAACGCTCCCTTATTAAAGATTGGTAAGTTGATTTAAACTGACAGAAATTAAATCAAAAATGCCGACTTTAAACAAAAAGAAAAGTTAATACTGTTGCGAATAAAAACTGTTCATAGGGTTTTTAAATACACACTTTATAAAACAAATATGAACATATTATATACTTCTTTTACTTTCGATAATATGGACCACATATTATAGAGACCAAGGAATATTATAAAATCGCAAAATAAATTCATTGATGGATATTAAGAAATAACGCAAACCTATACAAATATCTTGGAAAATTCCAAAACATGCAACCGTGAAACTAGTATCAAGATTTGTCAATCCAACGCTAAATTTTGTTGCAGGTTCAATGTGCACTTTTATACATAAAATCTTGGATACATAATTAATATTTCAATTATAAACATAATTATTAAAACAACAGAATAGGTAATAAAAATGTACCGAAGTATCAAAATTAGCGGAATAGTTGAATATAACTTTTTTAATAAGTACTCAAACTTATATAAACAGAATAATTTTTCATATAAAATAATACCTTCGATTTGTCATGATCTCAGTCCGAGGCACAGTGCTAGTTACCGCTAACTATCTTACGGCTCTCCAAGTCATCCATATTATTTGAACTGAAATTTAGAAAAAAAAGAAACGTTATAACTTTAGTACATCACGTGTCACATATTATTTTTCGATGAAAAACAGTCTGCGACGAAATCGAGCTCCTAAATTTCTAATAGACTAAAGTATTTAGTTAAAATTAAATTATTATTAAATTCAAATAAATATTATAAATAAATAAAAAATATTAATAAATATTTTTATCATTTCTAAATTTAATTATTTAGACTTCGATATGCAAAGACATTATTTACAGACAATTCAGACAATTTCTCTTTATTTTTCATTGTTGATTCGACTAATCTGTCACCGTTTTGTGTCACGTGACTGAAGTATAAAAATCAATGTTTTAAATTTACGATTCTTTGACAAATTAATAATGATAATTTATTTTACTCCATAACTCATAATTAATACAGATTCAATAACACTTTATTTTTCTAAATTCATTTTTACGAGTCTTACCGCAATTTATCATCGTTCTTCCACGACGTGACTTGTATGTGCGGCGGAGGCAGATAGCTACGGAGCGACTGGACCAACTGAATTGTATCCAAGAGGACTGAAATTATTTAATATCAAATTATACCATGATATTATTATACCAAAATCAGAAACTGAACACGCTCTGTACCATAGGCATAGACAAATGCCTGGGCATAAAATACCCGGTCGTAAATGTTACGAGTCGTCTTCATTTCAGCAAAAAATTCCATTTTTTTAATTTTATTTTTATAGAAGAGGGGCAAACGGGCAGGAGGCTCACTTGATGTTAAGTGATACCGCCGCCCATGGACACTCTCAATGCCAGAGGGCTCGCGAGTGCGTTGCCGGCCTTTCAAGAATTGGTACGCTCTTTTCTTGAAGGACCCTAAGTCGAATCGGATCGGAAATACTTCAGTGGGCAGCTGGTTCCACAAGGGTGGTGCGCCGCAATGGTCCAAGCCCCCCCCCCGCCGACGTCGTCCGTGTGTGGCGTGGGTGGTGTTAGTATGTACTATGATCGTATGCCTCCGCAGCTTGGCAAAGCCGCAATTCCCGGGTTTTAGGAAATAAGGTACACCAAAACTTACTTCCCCCCCCTGCTTTTTTATATGTTTTCGAGTGTATAGTTAAAAATAAATTGTCTCTCGGATTGCCGAAAGACGCTTTATGGGTCTCAAAATAATTATCCCCTTAAATTCTGACGCTCCATTTTTATATATGTTCATCCGACAACTATTTACTTTCAGAGCAGCGATCGGCCCTCCCTAACTATTTAATCGCCGGGCACCGCTAACCAACGGTCTGAAAAAACTAAAAGATACAGATAATATGAGAACGAAAAAAAAAATTGGGGGGGGAGAAAAAAAAAAAAAAAAAAAAAAAAAAAAAAAAAAAAAAAAAAAAAAAAAAAAAAAAAAAAAAAAAAGGAGGGGGGGGGAGGAAAGGGGGGGGGGGGGGGGAAAAAAAAAAAAAAAAAAAAGGGGGGGGGGGGAAAAAGGAAAGGGGGGGGGGGGGGGGGGGAGAAGGGGGGGGGAGGGGGAAGGGGGGGGGGGGGGGGGGGGGGGGGGGGGGGAAAAAAAAAAGGGGGGGGAAAAAAAGGGGAAAGAAAAAACAGGAGAGGAAAGGGAAAAAAGGGGGGGGGGGGGGGACCCCGGGAAAGAGAGGGGGGGGGGGGGGAAAGGGGGGGGAAAAATGGGGGAGGGGGGGGAAAACGGGCCCCCCCCCCCCCCCCCCCCCCCCAAACCCCCCCCCCCCCGGGGGGGGGGGGGGGGGGGGGGGGGGGGGGGGGGGCGGGCGGGGGGGGGCCCCCCCCCCCGCCGCGGGCGGGGGGGGGGCCCGCGGCCCCCCCCCAAAAAAAAAAAAAAGGGGGGGGGGGGGGGGGGGGGGGGGGGGGGGGGGGGGGGGGGAAAAAAAAAGAAGGGGAAAAAGGGGGGGGGGGAAAAAAAAAAAAAAGGGGGGGGGGGGGGGGGGGGGGGGGGGGGGAAAAAAAAAGGGGGGGGGGGGGGGGGGGGGGGGGGGGGGGGGGGGGGGGGGGGGGGGGGGGGGGGTGGGGTTTTTTTTTTAAAAAAAAAAAAAAAAAAAAAAAAAAAAAAAAAAAAGGGGAAAAAGGGGGGGGGGGGGGGGGTTGGGGGTTGGGGGGTTCGCGGGACGGGGGGGGGGGGGGGGGGGGGGGGGGGGGGGGGGGGGGGGGGGGGGGGGAAAAAAAAACCCCCCCCCCCCCCCCCCCTCTTCCCCCCGGGAAAAAGGGGGGGGGGGGGGGGCGGGGGCTTGTCCTCCAAAAAACGCCCGGAAAAAGCCCGGGTTGGGGAACAACGGACGTCGAGGTGATACCGGGTGATGAATTTCGTATTCTGCCTAGACGTCCGATGATGATGGCATTTAAAATATGTGATAGAAAAATATATTACTAGTAGAAACAACGTTATTATAGGTTAGCTACGTTTTTAATATAAATAAGTTGTGGGTTCTGACTAGTTTAAAGTAGAATAAGACAAAAAGTAATTCACATTAATAAGTTCAAGGAAAAAAATTAAAGAAAACTATTCAGCTATAGCTACTTTGTAAAAACAACCAAATTATTATAAGGGAATTCCCCTATTTCACCATTTTAATTCCGAGTTTATCATCACGATTATTTATTGGGGTTAAGATAAGAATACTCTTATATGTTTGGTGTGTTTTTGCTGAAAATCATTAAATTCATGAAGCTTTGTTTCTTAATAGATGTATGGTACACACAATAGTGAAACCAGATAAAATACATAATTGTTAGTTGTAAATTTGCCAAAAATTATACTGACTCTTCTGCAGTTGCTCGCTCTGTTTCCCATACGGTTTGCACATAGCTGGCCGGACACACGGCCGCATACGTTGCAAGTTACGGGCCAACTCTGCGAACGCACGCACTACGCGTTCCTGACCGCCTGACCCACTCGACCCTCCCGATAGTGACTCCAGGCTTTCCAGGTTCGCTCTGTAATACATTTTTATTTTGTCTTAAAAAAGTGTTTAATTATATAGAAGTATCCGGAAGTGCCGCGAAAGGGAAAAAACAATTTCAGCGAATGTTTTTTATAATTTTTATTTATAAGCAAGTGATCCTTCTAATGGATGCTTTTTTAATCTAATAAATGCCGTCTTACGATGTTTTATACTGTTGAGATAAAATGTATTACCACTCCATTTCGTAATAGCTTTTTTAATCATATTTGTAGAATAATTAATAGATATGTATGTTCTTATTAGCCCTAAATCCACCTTTGGGTACATAATCGAGGTTCAAACGTAGATGGCGGCGTCGAAAATCGCACGGTTCACTAGGGTAAGATTGCGTATATATTATAAAAAAACTAGTTATAAAAAAATAAATATTCTAGTATTTATTAGTACTTTGAATTCTCGCACGTGGGAATGGAATTTCTTGTGTATTTTAGAATATGTTTTCTTATATATATCAATCTAGCTATGATGGTCATGATCACTTATTTACATTTTAAAAGCACAAATAAAAAACGTGATTGTTTACACATAGCAAACCAAAGATAACACAAAAAAAGGGTGCGTGTACTTATGTACGCGCGTAAGAAGTTATACTTCATTGGCTTTCTTTTTTTTATTTATATAATTAATTAATAATTAATATTTAACGTAAACAATTTAATAATATTTAATATTTAGTATATTATTCAATTATTAATTAATATTAGTAACAATTATTATTATTATTTATTATTTTATTATATTATTCATTCAATTTAATAACTAGGTATGTTTCATAACCTTTTAACTAAGTAACAATAGGTCTTTGTGAAAAAACATTGCTGTATTTCTTTGAAAAAATAATTAAAACTCCTTTATTTGTTTAAAAGGTAAATTTCATTATGGTCATTCAAAATTCTTGGCATAGCTGCTAACTTCACGCATATTCTATTTCTTTTTACTTGTCTGATTCCCATCTCGCTCGCGCACGCTAAAATCACACTGACAACTTTGTGTCTCAGGTGCGCGCGCATCGTAAAATTTCACTCTCATCAATTTTTCATAACGCGCCTAAAGAAGTATAACTTCAAAAAAGCTTACAAGTAACCAAGTCCAAACCAAAATTTTAGTTGATAATGCATAAGAGACTATTTTAGATATCATTTATAAATTATTTATTGTTTACCAGGCAAGTACTTGGTTAACAAAATTTTGCTTACCTTAGAAAATCAGTCAATTTGTGATCATCAGTGTAGTGGTGTTTAGACTTGGTGTCCAAAGAAGATTGTGAAGATGACCTCTGGGAGTATTTATCAATCGACTGGTGACTCATGGAACGATTTTGGTGCAGTAGCATTTGCTGATGCTGTGAGAGTTTATCAGCCGCACGACGATCCGTTTTGTCTCCGGTTAAATTTGCTGGAAATATTGTATTAAGCTGCAGTACTACAGTTTCAATTTAAAATCAAACAAACAAAATAAAAGGTGGCATGAAACATTTTAACTCCTTACTGTTTATATAATATTCACAAGATCTTTATATCACAATTCTTGGGCATTTAAACAACATAGTATAAGAAATGTTTGTAAAGTCTACTTCTACTACGTCAACTCAAGACAATGCTTTAGTAAAGTATAAATAAAAATAATTAACAATTTTTTAATTAATTTTTTTTAACTTTTATGTATATTACATAATAGGGACTTTAATGAATATATTTACAGAAAACGCTAATAATTACACTTGTAATTCAAATAAAATTTATTTCTAATTATCATTCAGATGTATTTTATATTGCATATGTGTATTAATTATTATTAAATTAATAAACAAGTAATGAAAAATAATAATAAAAATTGATTTTTACTTAACAACTCACTGAGAGCGGCAAGATGTGGTGCAAGTGGCAGCTGATAGTCTTGTGGCAGCGCTGCACCACGTAGTAGGCGCTCCACTGCTTGACTGTCTGATAAATTGGAACTGCCTGCATCTACATTAAAAATATCCTTGAACATTATAGTTCATAAAAGCAAATCATTTATTTTCTTTTAATCAAAGTTTTTCTATTTTACATAGATTGAGCTGTTACTAGTTTAAAACATAAATTTTTGCCATAGAACATTATAATAAACATATACCTGGTATGTATGTTGGTTGTTGGGATAAGTGTTGTTGTATAGATTTCTGTGTCATTTCTAACTGATTCTTGTAATAGCGACAAGCTGGGTTTGGACAATTTTGAACAACTTCTACAATAAACTCTTTCTCCATACCAAATTGTTCTCTACCAATTGTATAAGATTCAACCACCTTAAACCAATATAAAGAATAAATAAATTGTTCCTTTGAAACACAGAATGATGCAGAATCAATACTAAGAACTTACAGCTCTGACAGTTGCCTCTAATCCCAAATGTAGGCCATGGGGACCATTCATGTGTTTCAACATAACAGCATTTGCAAAATGTTCATAAGGTAAGATTATTTTACCATTTTCACGATAAATCAGACGCCCTTGAGCATCTAAACCAACCCTTGATGCCATCATTCTGAAACATAGATGATAAGCTTTTTTTGCTCTACTTGACCAAAATTTAGATATGGAGCTTTTATGTGCTATTAAAGAAAGTTACTTACTGTAAATAAGTTGCACTTGGAAGCATGGAAGACTCTTTGAGATCGCTGAAACATTGTAGTAGCTCTATACTGGGACTCCAGCCCTTATTTTGTAAATATAATTGCAATAGCATGTAAAGCTTTTCTGTGACATATCCCTCCGCGCCGTGTGGGGCTGCCGCGCTGGATCCACTTGCCGTACTAGTGGCATTTCCACTACTCTTCGCTAACACATTCTTCATCGTCTCCGCCAGATCCATCTTGTAGATATCTAAGTATGTCCTCTTTTGGGAATCCTGTTTAAAAACACCAGAAAAGTTACAAAAGATCAATAGATTTCACGAATGTGATCACAATTAGTAACTCATAACCCAACCAGAATGGAAATAATTTGCCAAATACTGCAAAAGTATGACCTCTTGTAATCCCTAAATATAATTTTCTTATTAGTATTTTATTGGAAAAAAATTAATATTTCTTACAAGCTGGGTTTACTTTTTTTTGTCACATTTAAGATTTGACAATGGTCTATAAGGGATTGACAGTTGACATTCTCCCTATTTCACTTGCTGTAGTGCGTTTTCCAATTACAGAGCATTATGCGACTCAGTGCCGCACAATGCCGCATAATGCTGAAGCTTAATTGGAACGTGAATTAGTTTTCAAATGCATCAGCAGAGTGCGCTAAGTCAGTGTTGACAAAAAAAATGGTCTGAATACAGTTAGCAACCTCATTAATGTATAAATAATATGGTAAACAATAATAATTGGTTGAAAACTTTTTACGCTTATTTTAATAATCAAATTATTTCATTAACATTTTTTTACTGAAATAAGAGAAAACCTTTAAAGAATATAAGGTTTTAACAAGCTAAATTAACAGTAAAATATATAGTTTCATGTAAGAAGTTTACATCATTTACGTTTTGAGTAATTTTTTTTAAATGATTTCTAAAAAAATTATATACTTTTTCAAAACCATTGCAATGTTTACAAAAGTATAATCTGTAAAATAAATTTGTTTACAGATCCGAATTTTAAAATAAAATTGTACCTATTACATTGATATACAAAAACCCAAGATGCACAATCAACGTCTAAAAAACGTCCTCAAAAAATGAGCGCAACATTCTAAATTGTGCACTCATTTCAAATAGTCTCGCGTGTGGTGGAGTCGATGTTATTTATTTGTGTTTTTTTTATAAATAAATTTATGTACTCTTGAACTTTTTTGTGTGTAGTTTTTAACAAATATATTTACGCTATATAAAGTGTGGGTCAGGAGGTAGCCAATTTAACATTTTTTTTTAATTTAAAGAAAAAACTTTTTAACCGGATTAATGTTATGTATTATTATAAATTTACAACTATTTAACATCCAACACCTTTTGTCTTCAGTCACCGTGACCACTCACGCTGTAAAGCACCCGAAAAGTCGGATAAATTTAAAATTATGTTAAATAGTTGTAAATAAAAAAGTCATGTTCGACTCCACTCAATACCTTGTCCTACCGACCACGGTCGGTCGTAAAATTTTATTGCTTTAAGTACGTATACACTGCGTTGTAATAACAACTTTAAACAATTCGCGTAAGGTTGATTTTGCAATAATATATACTGTTATGGACAGAAATAGTGTTTCGGGACACTTTCGAGCGTTACTTTTATTCGAGACTGTGCATCTTGGGTTTTTTGTATATCAATGACCTATTACTACATATTTTAAATGTGGAATATAAAAAAAGTAACTATTTATACCTTCATCCATACTTATATTTTTTTTAGCAGTTTGAAATAACTTTAATTATTTTCAAAATCTACGACGAAACGAAAGCCTTACAAATTTTTCAACAATAAATAATATTTACTAACGAAAATTTCGATAAATGCCAACTTAATGAAAAACACTGGTCAATTTTCTGTCACTGTGTTGGTATTTATTGCGAGAAGCACGCGAGAGCATTCGTTTTGAGAGTGCTCAATTGTGCGAAGCGTTGCTGTAGTTGGAACATTCAACGTTGAGCATTATGCCGCATAATGCGCTCTAGTGCTGTAATTGGAAAACGCACTTACTATGCTATTTGGCTGACGTCGTATATATTATATTATATAGTATTAGTGTCAGTTGAATCGATCGATCTGCATTTGTAGATTGTAACGTAACGACTAACGATATTAATCATTATAATTTCCAACAGTTCTAAAAAGAACCCTGAATTCACAAAATCTGAGTTATTGGGGATTCACTACTGCTGTATTTTCATGCGATTTCTTGATAAGCAGATCAAATGTATGTGATCCGATAGATCGAATCGTATGTCGGAAATATATAGTAACGATCATAATAAAAACATTTTATACCAGGTCATAAGTACTTGACAGATCTGTCTACCTAGGGATGATCGATATTGACATGTCGATGTTTTTCTAATGTTGTGCAATGTCATAATCAAAAGCCCAACATCGATATTCGATATTTATCGAAAACCGAAGATCGATGTTGTTCACTACTGCTGTATTTTCATGCGATTTCTTGATAAGCAGATCAAATGTATGTGATCCGATAGATCGAATCGTATGTCGGAAATATATAGTAACGATCATAAAAAAAACATTTTATACCAGGTCATAAGTACTTGACAGATCTGTCTACCTAGGGATGATCGATATTGACATGTCGATGTTTTTCTAATGTTGTGCAATGTCATAATCAAAAGCCCAACATCGATATTCGATATTTATCGAAAACCGAAGATCGATGTTGGGTAACATCGATTTTAGGTTTACTAAAACACAGTGGTACGAAATTTATTGAGAAACAGAACAAATTATTACATATTCCAATATTTTTTATCAACTAACAGAATGAAAAGTAATTTTGATAACCTTTTAATCTATTTCTTTGTTGATAAAGACTAGTGTTTCACTCTCACACAGGAAGTGAGCGAGCGAGACTACGAAGAACAAACGAAGGGAACGTTCTGGGCGCAACGGATGAATACGTAGAAGAAGATCATGATCAAGATGAATCATAGAAGACATAATTTGTTTCGTAAGTTGCATTGGTCGTGCGGGAGGCTGTGAGTTAACTTCGATGTTCGATTCCGTTAAAATTGATGTTACGATATTTTTCGTATAGCAACATCGATGTAAAAAAAAAACTAGAGCATCCCTAAATCTACCCACAGATTGTGAATTCAAGTGTCACGACAATCGACATTATTCTTAAGAGGTTATGTTTCAACATTTCAATTTTCAATAATATTGAGCATGGCATTGTAGTAAATGCAATTTAACATTTTACGGCCAAAAACAGTGAATACATAATGGATGAGTTAGTTGTTGGCACTTATGAGGGATTTTTATTAGGATATTCCTTGCGTACAGAAGATGAAGTAAGTTCCTTCGATAAGATCAAGTTACTTAGTTCCAATAAATATTTTAGGTAGGTCACCAATGGCTTAATCATATTTAATTCTTTATTTGTTTGTAAATTTTTTTAGGTAACAAAAATAAAGCAAACATTTGCAACACACTCACATACAGCATCTGTTAGATGTATATCTATAGCGGGAAAATTTTTAGCTTCAGGAGGAACGGACGATAAGGTTGTAGTTATCGACTTAAAGACAAGGAAAGAGCACACAGTATTAATGAACCATGATGGTACTGTTAATACTGTTGCATTCACACATAATGGAACCCATTTACTTACTGGAAGTGATGATGGCTCCATTATTGTAACTAGGACTGGTAATTGGCAAATAGAAAAAGTTTGGAAAAAAGCCCATGGAGGTAATTAAATTTTGATATAAAGATTTGACTAAGTTTGAAGTAAGAGTTAAAAATTTTACAATTTTTGTTTTAGGACAACCAGTAACAGCAATTGCAGTACATCCATCTAACAAATTAGCATTGAGCCTTGGTGGTGACAAGACTTTAAGAACTTGGAATTTAATAAAAGGAAGGCCTGCTTTTACTATAAATTTAGCCAGCAAGGGTATAGTTATGCCTACGGAAATCAAATTCTCACCTGGTGGTGATAGATTTTCATTAATATCCCAACAAACTGTTGATATATGGAAAATTAGTCAGGCGGGATTAGAAAAGCGAATTACATGTACGTCTAAGCCTAGTGCTGTACAGTGGACCAGTGATGAACAAGTGTATGTTGGACTAGAAAATGGAAACATTTTAACTTTAAGTGTTTCCGAAACCCAGGCTCAAACATACCCTGCACATAAACAGAGAGTAAAATGTGTATTCTTTGAGAATAATATACTTTATACAGCTTCAAGTTCAGGGGAGCTAAAAGTTTGGTCGGTAAATGAGAATAAATTAAAGGAATTATGTTCTACAAATGCCTCGTGCCGAGTGACTTGTGTCACATTAAATAGACAGAGTTATTTAATCAAGAATGAAGACACAGAAGAAAAAATTGATAAAGATGAAAAACTTGAAAGTAATCCTGAAGAAACTGATCCAGAAAGTCATGAAGATTCAGAAGAAGAAAATAAAACCCCACGTAAAAGGAAAGTGGGTGCATTTGTCACCATTTCATATGGTGATAATGAAGAAGTTAAAAAAGATACAGAATCACCAGCCAAAAAGAAAAAGAGACGTAGGAATAAGAAACCAAAAAACAAAAATAAAGAATAATATGTGAATCTCTTTTCTTTCCCTTGATGCTATAGATATTATTCTACCTATAATTATGGTTACATTGATGTATATAGAGATAGGTCCCCACATCTGTCGTCTAGTGCCCAATGATGATCACTAATTTAAATATAATTGATAATAAAATCATGTAGGGTTCACTAGCTTCATCAAAAAATAGATTTAATAGCCACACTATTATTAATTTATTTATATCATCATGCTTTTTTCCCGAAGGTCTAGGCAGAGATCACGGATCTAATCATGGTCCTGACCATTCCTCTCTCACTCCATCGACTTCCATGACGTTCACCATGCATGCTCGTCGGTTATGGGTACTTTTTACTTCTTTCTCCTGGATTTGGTCCAGGTATGGACAAAAGCCTACCCAAACCCTCTTCACCATTCATGGTCGCCAACTCGTTAATCGCTTTGCAAGATTGCACTATAATAAAACTATTAAATATGATTTTAAACGAATATACATATGGTTTTATTTGAGCACAATCAAGTAACGTTTTAATACGACGTTGCCATATTAAATTTAATTGGTCAAAAATTAAAGAGTAATTCTTTTACAAAACAAGTGATAATTGAAATAAAAAGACAAATATGATTTCGACTTTGGTTTCTTTATTTACTTTTAAATAATAATCTTTATCTTGAACACACCCAAATACATAAATAAATTGCAAGTACATAATAACTTAATTTGGTCCCAAAATAAATATTTAAATAATTTAAGGAAATTATATAAAAAAAAAAACAAATAACATTAATAAAAAATTACACATTCGTTTTGGCAATTGTTAACGGTTTAAACTAATTATATAAACAATTAGTAACCAATATTTAATTGGGGACATCGAGCACTCAACAAGTCTTCATTCAGTCGATATTGAGACTATATTTACATTCTATTTCATAAGAAACCAAACACGCACAGTATAAACGCAGACAATAATATTACATAAACTAATCGTCTAGAATAAAGCTTGTCAAAATAATAAAATCGTGCAGAATGTCTCTTTGAAGCTAGACCACGAAAATGCTAAAAAAATATAAAGTTCAAAATACATAGCTTAGAAGAAAGTGTAAGAGAAAGAATAGAAAATAATCTAGCCACAAAGAGTATTACGTAATACTTATGTAAAGAAATAATTTGTTGGAATGTTACAAATCATGAAGATATGGGTAAAACCTTTACTACACTAAATTTGTATTTCCTGTAATTTTTAAATGAAATAAAAATTTATGTTTTTCAGAAGGCGATCCACTACAGAAACTATTGAGATTAATATTTCACACTCGTTTAATTAGGATAAAATCTATCTGCAAATATCTAAATCAGCACAGTAAAAGACATACCCAATTTGCCTATCGGGTCGGTGACAAATCTTTACTTCATGAGATCACCAAACATTAAGATTAACCCGTTTACATAGCGATAATAAAGTCAGTCACCTGGCCACTAAGTACATTTTGTGCAATAAATACAATTTACAAATGCCATAGAGAAATCAATTCAATTGTAATCGCTAATGAGTAAGTATAGTCATAATCGATCGATGAATACATATACTAATGTTATACGTTCTAGAGAAAATTCATGAAGTATTATAGTGTATTGAATATCGCGTTAATCTTACAAGTTGATCTTATGACTAGATTGAGCCAGTATTCATACACAATCACCGCACACCAAAACTCAGAAAAACTGACACAAATACAAAATGTAGGAACAACGAAGAAGTTCAGTATTGAAAATATATTAAGGTGTATTTATACTATATATGTACCTTTGGTTATCTATTTCCATTGATTGGGTGTTATATATTATTTCTTACAGATTCGTTCAGCTTTCGTTTCATCGTTCAAAGCGAGCGTCACGCCTCTAATCCACTACAAACTATTCAGATGGCACCGCTAATAGCCAATAATCATTTTTAACGTCAGTCACATAGTTCACCATACAACTATTACAATGGCAAATCATAAAGTATCAAACGAAATATCGAACATCTTCGACATAATTGTTAATTAGCGCTGACATATTTGACTAATCTTACGCTAACATTTCACACGACATAACACTGAATTTTACATTTACCTAAGCAGAAACTAACTCAGAAAGATTATATTTAAACCAAAAACATACCGAGACTAGGTATTCGCGTTTAGTTAACTCACAAATTAGTACGCGATTTGTAAAATGTAACGGCAGCGCCCTAAAATTACGTCGAGAGAGTAAAACTCGTTTTAGCACACAAATTTAAGAAATAAAATCCACAAACGTCCAAAACAGCTGTATCTCATGCTCTACTTCTTCTTTGCCTTCTTTTCTGCTTTCTTGATGGCTTTTAGGTATTTCTCGTGAGCGTTGCGAAGTTCTTTGAGGCGTCGCTTCATTCGACGGCGGTCGTCTCCACCTAGACCCAGAAGCTTGAGGTCTGCAGAGGCCAGGGTCAAAAGCAGGGCTCCGTCAACGCCACGTGTGGCGAAGGCGCCAGCGTGACGATCTAAGCCTTCGCTAAGACTAGAAACCCATTGCCAGACCTAGAAATCATATGTATATTATATAGGGTTCATATACAATATACATATTAATAGTATTAATGTAGGAAACGTATAAGTTTTTTAATTATGTCATTATAAAAATATTAGAAGAAAAAATCTTCCTTAACTTTTTAATAACGCTTAAAAAATGAGTAATATGTAAGTTGTGTTAAACTTTTATACCAACAACTACAATTAAATAACCTTTTTTTTTTTTTTCGTTTTTTTTTGTTATTATATTATGTACTTTGTATTTTTAGGTGTGTACCGATCTTATGAAATTTCACTGTGTTATACGTACGTATTTACGGATGGGCAAATGATCAAGAAACCGATTCAGACATCTGAGGCCCAGACCTAAAAGTTTTATTTTTAGATTACAATATTAAATGACATTCTTACCTGTTGTTTGGACCAGAGGTTAACGGGCGTGGGATGAGGCTGCGGCGAAAGACTGGCCTCGCTCACCGCCGTCGAGATCGGCTCCCACACTTCGCCGTCCACTACACAAGTCGGAGCTTTCTTCACTGTACCGTTTGGAGTTATGGTTTTAATAAATTCGTATAAATATAAGTTGGTAAATGTTAAAATAAACACCACAAGCAAGAAAATACATATAAAAACAATAACCGTCACCAAAAAGCTGAATGTTAGAGCAAAATTAACGAATGAGTAATTTTTAAATTTAAATAAATATTAATATGGGATAATGAATACACATAATATAGAAAATCAAAGCATCAAATAAAAATCAAGAGAATATTCAACACCAAGTATAGTGAAAAATAGATTTAGAAGTAATAGAACAAAACAAATTATGCTAAAGAAAACTCAAAATAGCCAAAATCGTGCCAGTTTCGGCTCGGAGGACCAAACATTATATTCTAATTTCTTTAACTTATGTCTATATTATTACGCTTATGTCTCATATACCTCTAGCGTTCGCTTCACTAACGGCCTGTCGTATTTCATCGACGAGTTCGTTAGTCAGTTGCACGGGATCTGGATGGGGTAAAGAATGGGTCTGATGCCCCAGATGTTGCCCATGGCCCCCTGGGTGAGTCCCATGCCCCACGGGGTGGGACGGTTGGGGCGAGGAACCTGCTAGTCGTCGTTCTCTTTCAGCCAGCACTTGCTTCAACTGCTCGGCGAGAGACGCGGCGGGTCCTAATCAATATCAGTACCACCCATTGTTATAATGACATTAGACACACCCAGAAGTCTAACCTTTACTAGTAACTAACTCACCTATATTCTAAAGCATGTAGACGGTAAAAAATATGAAATTCAAAAGACATGAATGAAAAATCTAAATATTCTCTTTGAAAGTAATATTTTTTTACCAGTTTAGGGTTTTTTATGTATGAGTCAACCAAACTCAACCTCTTATGTCAAATTCAATATGTTTTTGACATATGAAGGGTCACACTTACCGCTAAGATTGCAGATTTGAAGATCAGCTGAAGTAATTTTTCTCTACAAACATTGACCATCTCGCAGAATTTAAAAATCGGTGTGGGATATATATTTGAATATCGCAATATTTGAATGACCAAATGATATTTATAGAATGTGCAATTTATTGTTCTGGTGATTTCACACACAAAAACATTACATAACAAAAGCAAGCCTAGAAAGTGAGTATGTGTTGTTAAGAATGGTTGAGCTAGCAAAAATGTTAATAATAATCATATTAGCAACTACAAATTCTTGATTACACAGACAATACAATGTTTTTTACATACAGTTAATAAATATAAACATGTTGTATTTCTTTGTTTGAGGGCAAATTTATTAATTGTTGAACAAATCAATAGGTGACAACACTATTAAATACATTTTATTAAATTAATATGACTTACCCGTCAGTTGATGGTGTCTGAGATCTCGTGAATAAAGCCCATCATCTGTAGCACTGCCCACGGAACTACCACAGCTTTGACGGTTATCGCGCTGATAAAATAATAAATATATTATATAATGAATTATTTGTACCCTAAAAATACCCGACTTAAAGTGACGCCCATGAACACACAATGACGGACTAAAGTATTGCCGGCTTTTAAAAGTTGGTACGTTTTTTTATTAAAGGACCTTATGACGAATTAGTTCGTAAATACTTTGATAGGCACTTCAGCGAACATATGTTCTGCGGTAAAAAGTACTTAAACGCTCAGTTGTGGAACGAAAGACATGTGACATGACAATGGTACCATATTTTTATAAAATTTGCGGCCGTCTCAAGTTACTAAAAGTAAATCTTTATAACAAAAAAGTAAAAGCATTAGCATGAATCATAAAAACTTCTATTAATTTTTTTAGTAAAAACTTCAAATAGACATTATTTTGACAGTCGGGAAAGAGAACGCACGAGTTCGGAAAAGGTAAAGAAAAAGCCCACATCCCGAACGCTATACGTCCCTGCAGTACGCCACTTTTTGAGCAACTGTATTAAAAAATATATTTCACGCGTAGTTATTTTTTTTTTGACAGCCAGTAACGTTTTCATAGAATAGTCGTGATCGATCTCTTTGGTGATTGAAACTTTTACTAATTATACTCGCATTCCAAATTTAAACCAATCAAATACAACATTGTGAATAGATGGATACAAATTAATATATGAACTTACAGATACGTGTGATGCGTGCGGTGGTGCTCCAGAAGTGGACTCGCTCAAAGACTCATCTGCCGAGTCATTGTATGAGTCGTCTAAGCCGTCATACTGAAAATTTGACAAAAAACTTTATATTAAAAAAAGAGCAATGTTAGTTACAATTATAATTAAGTTAAGTGAAAAAGGGTTGCTTACCAACACCTATTTATAACATTTCTGTAGAACAAAGTTTAGTCAAAAATTTACGTGAATTACGTAAATCTAAGCATAAGAAGGAATTCAATTCCTTAATTAAAACGTTAAGTATATACATACTAGCGCGTTACATCCTCATAAATACTTAGTAACAGGTTCTCTAAAAATATCGATATAATTTTATTTAATAAATATTGGTACATTTTCTAATCTATTCACATATTCTGCCAGTAAGAAGGCGCACAAATGCATGTTGTATATTACTATTTATCTTTAAAACATACCGAACTGGCATTGCTAAGCGAATGCGGCGATTGCGATGCGTGGCTATGCGGCGCGTGGTGCCTATGTCTGGCGATCTCAGTCCGGGCGCGGTGTACGGACGTGTCCAGTAACGACGAGCGTGGTACGGCCGCGTCTAATTCGCGGGACAAACCGCCTTCACTAGCTGACGTCACGCTTGTGCATATACTGCCTCCACTCCTAAATCGTTTATTACATTAGAGAAAAGGATATATTTTAGGAGTGTGGCAGGAACCAGCATGGCGGATAATAAAAATCTTATATATATAATAATATATACTAGGTATCGAGATCTTTCGAACTATAATGACGTAACAGTGATATCAACATAACAAAAAAGTAATTGAACACTACTGTGTCCTCATACGCACAGACTAGCTAGATCTAGCCCGCAATAAAACTATGTAAAGAAGGCAACTATGTAAGGCAACGTTTCAAAGCAAATTAAACTAGGACTGAAGGTAAATGTATTGACAACGGCTTCTTGTTAGCGGAGATGATCACTGCATTGATTTATTGTTATACAAAAAATCAACGTGTTTTTTTGTCTCCCTTCATTAATTATCAGTGATTAAATACAACTCTTGCATTCGCAAGCCCAAGACGTTTGATTCCAGCAAGCCCATTTTCGAGAAGTGCACTAGCATTTATAAAAAAATAAATATCTAATAGCTATTAAACCAAATATAAACGTTACATACATAGTTTCTGTGACTGTGGTATGCGCAGTTGTAACAGCCACGTTCGTGACAAGCGTAGAGTTTGACGCCGACACGTGCGTTACGGGCGGTGACGTCACATTCGTTACAGTCGCGTAGATGACGGGCGAAGACGTCACTGGCACGTTCGTGACAGGTGCCGTGTCAGTTGTCGCTGTCACGTCACCAATATCGGGTGCTTCTCTACGTTTCTCGGACTTATCCACTTTGGCGTATTCATCCTCTATAGGCGATAGATCGGAGAGATCGCTGTCTGAGCTCCATGGATCTGAAATAATTCAATTTTGCATGAATATTGTGAAAAAATAATAAGGTTATAATTAAATGAATTCGTTCATCTTATATACCACTGTAATTAAGAACGTATTATATGATATGATTTAATTTCTAAAATGCTTTCAATTTAAGAGTTAATTCAAAGTCTCCTATGTAAGAAAGTTATACATTTTTGACACCCGGAATTCACATCAGTAGCCTCGGCAGTGGCACGTAATTTGGCAAGATTTTGCATAATGGGGGAAAAACCGCGGTTATATTAAAAAAAAAAATGTTTATTATGGAACATAAGATACATGTATCACTTATTCCACGTCATTAAATTTGAAGGCATCCCTACTCATCGGCAAAGAAGACAGAGGGTGTAGGCCGAGAGAAAAAGCCGGCGTAAAAAACTCTCGGTACTCTTTATATGCTTTGTAGGCGCCGGCAGTGGCTATATTTTAAAAGTGCATCTCAAAACTACTCCAGACTTAACGACTTACCATTGATAAGTAGCGGATCTGGGTCGGCTTTTCTTGGCAAAGGTGGAGTTTCTCTACGAGCAGAAGGCTCGTGCGGTAGCATTACCGGGAGACCTGCCTTTTTCTGCGTTTCCTGTAAAATTTATTAGGACCTCCCATTACTCCTATTAATTGTGATTAAGATAAGCATTTTTCAAAACAAAACAATGATCAGGAATTTTAAAATAATGGAAAGTTAGTGTTAATATTTTTTAACCACAAAATTAGAAACAAACAAATTGACGTACAAATAAAAATGTGAGCGGCGCCGTCTCTACAACATGCGGACACGACCAGCGAAATCAAGTACAAAAAACAGTGATAGTACAAATATCATTAAAAAAAGAAAAACCATAAAGTACAAACTATTTGAATCAAGAATTGAATTATCAGTACTGTGTTATAATATATAGTGTACTAATTCTACTCTTAGCCGAGGACAGAGAACTCAACTCAACACGTGAAAGCTCTGCAATGTCATTATGGTAGCGACATAACCTACTAATTGGAGAGTTTCTGCCAACGTTTGTTCGACGATGTGGAATGTGGGAAAATCAAAACACTACAAAAAATCTACATATTTCGAAACCGCATAAACCGAAGTCATACAAATAACTAACCAGCAATAGCACCTCAAGTCTGGCAACTCGATCGTGTAGCGCAGAGAGCGCGGCCGCGTACTCCCTGTGGGCCTCTCGCAACGTATTGCTCCACCATTCTTCACGAGCACGCACCATTGAACGCGTACGTCGCCATTCGCGTAGAGCACGTTTCGCCTGAGAAAATTGGTTCAAAAATTCGTGTTTTTACAAGCATATTTAAACGTAAATTTATAAAACAATGTTATAATAAAACATATTATATTTCATTCAAGTATGTAGTTAAGTTTATTTGCTAAAATAATTAAAACGTTGACTTTATCAACAGCCTAGATAGATATGAATAACAGTTTTAATATTTTTCAACTGAAGACTCTACTTACTGATTTACTTTTTATCAAACAGTCATCGTTACCTTCTGGTAGGAAGTTTTATTTCCGGCAATAAGGCTTTTTGATTTAGAAACACGTAGTTGCTCAAAGGCTCACCTTTTCATACTTGTGCGTGGCAGCAGTGGCTGAGTCTGCAGCCCTAGCGAGTGCTTCCCTCAGAGTTTCTACATCTTCGTGTGGAGGCGCCCTTTGCGACCACCACTCTCGCATCCGACATGTTATCTCCGCACCGCTGCCTCCACCGGCCTCCATGCCTATCAGCTGCGAATATATATAAAAAATTAAGTTTCGCACTTAAATTTCTAAGATTATTCATAAGTGTTTGATTGTCTTAACATCTGAGAGCAAAAATGAAGTAGCTCTCATTGAATAAAATGTGCAGTACTTGTGTAAACAAAAAACGATTATACTATTTTTAGCGACTAACTTTTGGTGACAATTGACCCACGTACTATCATATGAAAGCAATGCAAAACTGTTTTTTATAACTACATATTTACCATAAATTCGCACGCGCATAAAATTATATTGTCAAATTTAGTAATTTACTAAAATATTATCAAAATCACCGACATATATTTCTCATCTGAAATTTCTTAGTAAATTTAGCCTCTATGTTGGTAAATGATTTAGGTGATTTAAATAAAAGTTGCTACACACAATGCATTTTTTCTTTAGCACTTAGATGCTTAATTAGTCGCCGTTGATATTATACTATAGTAGATAACTGTGTTTGTAGACGAAACTGACAATAATATTACAAAACTATTGTTTTTAACATTAAAAATACATGAAGAGTTTTTATTACTATTACAATAATTTATAAACAAGACTTATTATATAGTATAAGATCCCGCTATACAACGACCTTCACCGAGATGCTTATTTAATGAAACTTATTTTATATATAATTTAATATGTCAATAAATATAATCCATATGGGTTGCCTAGCAAATTTCAGTCCAGAGTATGTTTAATTAATATTTAAAAAAAAAATGTTTTTATAATTTGCATGTAGTAAATTTTTTGAACTTTTTTCAATCAATATTTTTAATCAGGGTAGTATTATATATGTATCACTATAACCTTCTTTTATACTAAAGATGTATATATACTTTAGTGTCACATAAAAAATATACACATAAATAATTAATTGATTAAAAACAACCTAACGTTTGCATATTCTATGGGCTTCATACGTTCGATTGGTATAGAATTTATCTAATAATCATACCGGTGAAATGTTTAAAAAAAATATTTTTTTTTTTAAATTAATTAAACATTCTCTGGACTGAAATTTGCTAGGCAACCCATATGGATTATATTTATTGACATATTAAATTATATATAAAATAAGTTTCATTAAATAAGCATCTCGGTGAAGGTCGTTGTATAGCGGGATCTTAGACCAATATCTAAACGCGTACTTTCGAAGAAAATTACTAAATATAATGAATTTCTAAGATCACCTAAAAACGCACACACACACTTACTCACCCCCCACACACACCTCAACAAGTAAATTATTAGTACAATGTCTTTGTTAGTTATGTTTACATAATTTACTTCGTATATATATGGTGTTATTTTTTATCTTTAAAAAGCTGTGGATAATCAATATATGTTTACATATATATGGATTAGTTTGGTCAGTCTAAAAGTATTTAAAAATTATATAAGACGCAGTACCTCATTAACGAGTGACTTGAGCTGTAATATATCAGGATGTCGGACAGAAGCCGCAACTTCAGTTGTTGGATGAGCATCCTCTTCTTCAGCAGCTTGTCTCCTCTGCCGTTCACGGTTTGCTCTGAAATTTAGATTTCTTTAGATTTTAATACGTTGAATAAGCGTATAAGAGCATATATTCAACGTATTAAATTAAAATAATATTTATTAAATTAACGTAGCTTACGTACGTGTACGTTGTTTCTGAACTCATTTATTAAACTTTATTCATCGCTTTCTTTATAATGTATTTTTAAATATGCACATAAATTGTGTTTGTAGGTCCCAAACTTTGTAATAGGGTTTCTTCTCATAAATGCGTAAAAAATTTCATTTATATGCAATTTTAGATTTCGGATCATCAATTAATTATACATGTATCCGATAGATTTACATATGGGATAGGTCGTTTTTAAAACATTGGTATATGTTTATGTTCTGACATTAAAACTAATGGATCGTAAAGCTGTATTTGCAAATTTATATTGTGTATATTCTAATGGATATTAATTTATATAATAAACATATACGTAGAAGTTTTTCTTAGTAGGAATGGTGAAGTTTCCAATAAAGACTGTTATTATTAATTTTATAAACAATCGGTGTAAAGCAAGTAGAGAAAAATAGTACGTTATCTAACTCGTTTGTTAAATATAATTATTTATTCTCATACCTTTCCTCTCTTTCTCTATCAGCAGCAAGAGACTGTCGAATAAGATGGGCCACTTCACTGTTATCCGGATCCTTCTCTCTTCCGATGAGGAACTTCACCGGCCCAGATGTGTTTCGAAGGACTGATGCGGCATATGCTTGAGTTACACCAACCTGAAGTACAAAAAAACGAAGTCAATAAGTTAATTATTGACTTGTTTAGACCAACAAAGTGTATTTTTTTACTTTTTCATTGGAACATATTTTTAAAACATTTATCCTGACAACATTCACTTTAAACATAGTAACACAGTTGAAAGCAGTTTTGAAAGTGCCACCAACTGACAGTAAGACAAAATAATGTAATTTATAATATAAAAAATCCTAATAATGTATTAATTTTGACTTGTATTTGCGTGTTGTTCCCACGAGAATATAAATGCGTGCTCCTATTTCACCATGCCTCCTGCTGATAGAGGACAAATCTTTGCTTTTAATTTATTTTATTATTATTTACTTCTTAAGATGTCACGTGGAACATGGTGTAATGGTTGCAGCTCCTTACAAACGTAGTGTAAAACAAAAAACCTTTTTAATTTCATCAATGCAGTATGATAAACAAAGGGAATCTTTTCGGAACATTCAATAATGCGAGAAGTGTATAGTAACAATCTAAAACTCACCAAGCTCTTCCCATCAACCTCTATAATCTGATCGTTGACCTGTATACGTCCATCTCTTGCGGCGGCCCCACTCTCAGTGATGGTTTTTACGAAAATACCCAATTTCTCTAAACCCGCATCTGCGCCTACTCCCATACCTTTGATTTTATAATATTATTAATTATTATTCATTCAAGCTAATATACTCGAGTCGAGTCGAGATTTAACATTAAGTATGGCCCCCGAACGTCAATATCGAGCCATACTATCGAATACTGAAGATGATACTGGAGAGTCATCATTGTTAACACAACTGTTATTAGGGTGGTTTAAATAATAGATGATTTTAGTTTTACAGTATAATATACATAAATATATGCAAAATAATGTTAATAAAAAGTTAATTCATAGCAATTCATTTATGTAATTGTTGAAGAGAGTGCCTGCACCTGGCTATACTCTCGGGACATAACTCCGACGATTTAGATAATCATCGCGATTATAAAACTAAGAATTCCTTAGTGAGCAAAATGTACACTGTACAGTCTTGGGTCGTACAGGACTCTAAATATATTGATATATATATATATATATAAGAATAATTAGTCATAAATATTAAGTAATATCTATCGCAGTTTAATGTCTAGATAAAAAATACATTCTTAAATTTACAGACTTTTTACTGCTTAAAAAGTCTTAAATTTTACTTGAAACTGGCATAAAGTTGAAGCTGTTGCCATAATATTAAAAAAAGAAGTCTTAAAAAACCAGCTAATAATATATGTCTAGTAACCAATTCTTAATGTTAAAAAGTTCAAGAAAAATTTACACTATTTTTACTACTGTTTCGATCATTTGTGCTACTCCATTTATCAAAAAGGCTAATAAATTAATGTGCGACGTAGCGAGGCATAATAATATTACCTATAATCGACAATCCAAGTCCGTCAGCACCCTTAACGAGATCCACCGGAAAAACGTGCATCTTCTCCACTCTCTTCTCCAGCTCGTATTCAGCAGACGCAGCCACCGGGTCCACATCTTCATTGCGGCGATCGTATTCCCGGACAGAGTGGGTTGAAAATACTTGCATTGGATTCGTACTGAAAGATTCAGATTTAAACTAAACGTCTTCGACGGTTTAAGAAAAAAATTAAATGACCTAGACAGTCTAGGCCACAGATTTCTTTATCTGTTTCGTGAGTAATTATTTTTCTTAATAAACAGGTAGGTCATCAGCCCTTCTGTGCCTGACACACGCTGTCGATTTTTGAATCTAAACCATGCCTACAGTCCATTGGTGCACAGCCGAGGTGTGAACTTACGACCTCAGGGATGAGAGTAGCACACTAAAACTACTAAGCCAACAATTCCTTTTTTACTAATATAAACCCAAATTATTTTAATTATGTCAATATTTTGGCAATATCGGGATTAAAACAGTGTTATTTAATAGTGATAGTTATTTAATAAGAAAATTTTAGCAAAATTTATTATTTTGCTAACAATTTTCTTATTATAATTAAAAATTAATGTTCTTAGTCAGGAACTTACCTAAATTTAACTCTACTGCTCTTTTTCACAAATACTGGTGGGTAGTAATCATCATCCTCATCTTCTTCTATTGGCGGGAGACCAGCGACCTCGACGAAAATCATAGTAATTAATTTTTAGCTACTGAGACAATAACAAAGTTTTAAACTTGCCAGTTAGTTTTCGTAGTTAAAACAAGTTTAAACCGATAGATCGCTGTTAATGATTTTATATTGATAATTAGAGACAGCGAACAGCTTGAAATATAGGCTACATTTCAAAACCCACATTGATTTTTTTTAATTTTTTTTCCCGAAGGGGTAGGCAGAGGTGTCTGCACTTGCTACGTTCCTGACATACTTCTCCCGCTTAATACACTTTCATAGCACTTTAAAAAGTGGAAGTGGACTTGGAATTATTGAATACTTTCCACAGGCATTGGGTAAAGTACTCCTGTTTAAAGAATTGTTGAAAAAAAATCATTTGTGAAAAATAGAGATGTTTATGCAACCTGGCCCCAATATCAATAAATGCAACTGAAAAAATCGTCATAGTCGTAGAACAGTGACGGATCTGACAAATAGTAAACTTTACAGGGCAGCCATTTTAAAATAATATAATGATGTTAGTTTTTGTCATAACTATTTTAATTCATATTCTGTAATTATGAAAATTGGCATACAAGCAAACAAATTAAAATAAAAACATTTAATTACACAGTTTTCTAGACATGCTTCTATGAGCGTACCTATCAAATCCATAGCTTTACCGACTGATTAATTAGAAATTAAAAACACATGGATTTTTTTTAATGTAGCCGTAATATTTTAGTCAATATGAAAAAAATATGGATTTTGGATTTTTTCAAATCCGACATTGTTCTACGATCATGACGAAATGCACTTTCTATAAAAAATATTACGTATAATCGCTAAAGGTCAATATCTGTATGAGACTCACTTCAGTATAAAAGTGTCCATCTTCGAAGTAGTGAATTCCATTTTCCTCTGCCAGTTCTCTGAGCGACCGGGGCGGGTAGCTTTCAAAAACATTATCCGGTTCCGTCGATTCCGGTTCCGCCTCCGCTTCGTTCTGCTGTATCGTACTTTCGAGCGGTCTCTCCGCTTCGGTTTGTTCCGGTTGAACGCGCGCGTCGCCTCCCGCGCCCGCGTCCGCTTCCAGTGAAACGAATTCGTAGCTCTCGTCCACTGACTGCATGCTGCATATTATTTTTTCGTTATTTATAAAATACTTGAAAATTTGAATGTCACAAATGTACTAAATGTAATCATTTCAATGCTAATCTATATACATTCAAAACCGTTTACGACATTACGTTTAGAACAACATACCGGTTATATTGCCCATAATCAAAGGTCCCGGCTGAACTCTATTAGACCGTCTTATTAAAAAAAGGGTGCGTGTACTTATGTACGCGCGTAAGAAATTATACTTCTTTGGCATTATTAAAAATAGTTTTTGATTGCATGCAAATAATTAATTACAATTAAATAATCAAAGATTGGAAAAGGAGTCATTATAGTCAATAAAGTTCAGTTTACATTTAAAAATTAAATAAATAAATATTTGTTATTATTCTCTTACATTAAAGTGTAACATAAATTCTATTATTATTCGAATGTTGTTTTTAAATTATGTCCAATGCCGTAGCATCTTCCGTGGGCAACTTTATTCTGTTAATTTTGTGTCACGGTGCGCGCGCATCGTAAAATTTCACTCTCTTCAATTTTTCATAACGCGCCGAAAGAACTTCAAAAATAACAGATTTTGTTAATGTAGAAAAATGATAATAAAATGTACAAATGTTATTATAATTTTCATGTGAAATAAATAAAATGTAGTTTTATTTAATACATGAGTGTATTTATCACACATTCAATAATAAGTTCATATTATTAGGTACTTAATAACGTCATCGGCTGTTACGAGCAAATATGAGTAGTCCCTTCGATGTCGTTATAATAGATTTTGACTGTAATTCAATACAAACCTCTCATAAGAGAGCATGGACTGGTAGCTGTCGTTGAGCGAGACACCGTTATCGTGAGGCAACGCGTGCGGCGACAGCATCGCCACTATCTCTTGCGCCTGCTCATCAGACAGCAGAGCTTCTTGCCTAAATTTCAAAGTGTTCATTTCGATAAAGACACGATTTTAATGCCAAAAATTTTATATCACGTTCCACTGTAATTTAAACCATACCCGCCAGAATACTTGACAGTACAATAATTGGAGTTTATATATAAGCTACACACTTTATAATTAAGGATTGTATGTGATACTGTGAACATAACATAATATTTTTTAATAACAATAGTAAAGAAGACAATATTATAAGTATCTGGTATATCTATGCAAAGAATTAAGTTACATTTGGCAGAAAGAAGAATGAAACAGTTCGCATGAACCGAGCAAGCTTACCTAAGTTTTTTCTCCAGAATACTGCGTGATCGGGCAAGAATGAAGCGTTGTGCAGGCAGCATGCAAATGATAAAAAATCCACGTTTAATTCAAGTAAAAAGCACGCAATAGACCTCATCGCACACAGATACTCACGTGTACAAAGATTGGAAAATAAATAAAATAGCGTGCAACAAAAAATATGAATCAATATTGCGACGTACAGGCGCCACTCGTAATATAACGAGAGTGAAAACATATAGTAATGAAGAAGAAAGTAGGCCTAAAGTAGTGCAACTTAATAAATTAAAATTTTATGACATCGTTAACATCGTTAAATAATTTTACTATGCATTTTAAGATATCGTCACTGTCATACAATATTATCAAAAATACGATTATTATATTTGATGATAAGAAAATAAGACTAAACAAAATTAAAAGCACAGTTATAACATTAATTGCATTGCATTTGATATAGTGATTGAATCACGCACCTGGAGCTTAAAAGTATTTCAGCTTCATCTGGCGTCATACTGTCAGGCTGTTTGGCGTCTGCATCATCGTAATCTGCGGTATCACTGCCGCGTGGCTCCGGGGGGGTTATCCTCCGACACACTCCATTGGCTGGTGGTCGATTTGTCGAGCACCTCTATGGAGCCTTGACTAGCTTCGCTTACTACTACACCCGAGTCCTGAAGTATATAAACATTTTTTTATAACGAAGGCACGATATAGTTTTTGAAATATTTAGTACATGTACACGTTGATTACTAAGGTCACTCTGGATTCATTCAATTCACTTTTGGGTCCGAAGGTCGAAAATTGATAATTTTCGAATTAACATTGCCTATATATTTGGCTTAGAAAATTTCCTAGTACATTTGATTTTTTGTAGGCTTAGAAAATGTCTAAGTAGTAAAAAGACTTAAGAATATTCCATATTTCAAAATTGATATTCATATCAATCAATGAATTTAAGAACATTTATTAATGATCTATTATGAATTATTAATTTGAATTAAAAATATAAAAGTGTTCAAATATTTCGCTTGCTTGAACAATTAGTAAGTCAAACCGACATCATTCTGTAAAACGCGCAAAACATTTATTTATTGTAGCATAATTTTAAATTATAAATAAATCATTATAATTGTCAAATACGTTTTAATATAGGACCAAGTACTGTATAAGATGTTCTTATAGTATATTCTATTAGCTAAGTGTTAATATCATTAATATATTAACTGTCTAAACCTACCTGCTGCTGAACAGATAATGTATCCGGGTCGGATCTGGCTCGTTCGGCATCACGGATATCGCGCGTGAGTGGTAGAGGAGGCTCTCGGTACTCTGCGGGCCGGAGCCTCGCCACCACTTCTGGTGAGGGTTCATTGAACCCACCCTCATCTGAGACGCTGGGCGTCCGAGACCTTGTACGGGCAGTCTCATCTGGATCGGACGATTTCCGACCTCCGCCTACTGAAATGGGAAACAAGTTTATTAATATTTTATTAACAATACATATTTTAATCATATTATGGAGTTTGGTGGATTAATAACATAAGTTGTTCTCCTATATATATATAAAAATCCGATTAGTTTTTGTTATACTTACGCGAAGATAGACTTTTGAATCTTTTTCCTTGGACTTTTTGTTTGTAATATTGTGACTATGTTATAAAACGTATACGTTTTAATACTGGTATTTTGCATATAGAACCCTGGCAAATATATTATACCTATGACTTTGACTTTCAAATAAACATTGATAACGCTATCGTCAAGGTTGTTTTTTAATATCTATTTCTGGTTCAACTATTTTGTATCGTCACCTATTTAGAAGAATATATTTGTCTCAATGTAATTAAAATCTATTTATCGTTTATTACTCCCACGTGAAAGAATTGAGGTTATAATGAAATGGTGTTAATGCTATTCTAAATTTAAAATGAGTTCATCCACAGGTACCCATCATTAGGTCATTAGCGCACCTATGCGCTCATTTAATAAACATCTTGTACATTAAACAGATACAAAATGCCTACTTTGTCTACTACCGTCATATTTAAAAGGAATATCAAATAAGATGCCGACTTGAGTTGATGTTATATAATTCTTTAGTAAAGTCCTGTTGCTCTACAGCGGAACAAATATTTCGTTAATAATTTCATATTCTTAGCGACCAACTTTTAAACGGGGAAATAATATTGTTTCCTCAGGAATCTTAACACGCACTTTACGCTACCATATAACGGAGCAAAATTATGTTGCATTATAATAATAAAAAAAAAATCACGCAATCTTTAACTATCGATAACCGTTAACAAATAATTATTTAATAAAAAAAATAGTTCTTCCGATGCTTGGTTACGTGTTCAATGTTAAAAACAATATAAAGTAAAACATTTTTGCTATAGCGAGATTTTCTACGTAATATCGAATCATACAATTCATTTTAGTCTCGTTGTGACATAAAAAATGTATGCTTTATTAGTTCTATAATCTATTTGCCAGTTCATTGATGCGACCCGGGCTTTGTTAATTAACACTTGTCAGCATTCAACGGAGCATTGTTTACAATTAATTTTCTACAATTCCCGCTACGCTTTAACGTTAGAAGAAATTTTACTTCGAGCGATATGAAAATCTTTATTGTACTTCAGATAAGAAACTGCGATACGGAAGATGACCTAATAAGTTTTCTTTTCTGCTTGAACCACTTCGTAAATGATTGTTAAAGCTACTTGGTATTTTATGAGGTCAAGATTCCTAAATAGGCCGTCAAGATTTTATAAAGTATCAAGACAACTCTTCCCACACAAACATTAAGTGGATATTTTAAAATATATTTGGTAACCATGAGGGTTTTTATTTATTTTAACGTGAGTGGTTCTTGCTACTAAAATTAATTAAAAATTATATAGTGCGCAAAACGGATAAATAGTTCATATCAAAATTAATATGTATCCGTAAACATCACTTGATAATAATGAGACAAACGAAAAAATAACAACATTAAAATTGTATAATTTTTAATCTTTTCTATTGACGACTTTTGTATAGAACAGATTTCAATAACACCATTGCTGGAAGGCATTGTTGTCTATACAATAAAAAGTCTATATTCTTGAGTCTAACAAAAGAGGTACTTACAATAATATATCTGTATAAAAGTCCTACTTTCTAAGATTTTGACAAATTCATATTGTTGCAAATAGGTTTTATAGTTTTCTGTTATATCTGTATAGATAAAATGAGCTACAAGTTTAAGAAAGTTACTAACCAATACAACACCCGCACAGGCGCATACCGTCGGAACCTCGGTGCGGGCAACCCTTAATGACTTCATCCCCATTCCATTGCAATCTTTCGCGTACACTCACGCGCACATTTAACTCTAAACGACGTATTTTGGCGACACTGGGTCACTTAACTATACACCCACTTTAGACACTCACAAAACACTTCATTATGAAAGATTTACTTTGAATGCTGGTCTTATTCGGTGTGCAAAATAAACCACGATACGTAAATAGCGTTTTCGGGACCAAAAATGTTAAATAAAAACAACGTATCGGCACTGGTTTAGTGATATTTAAGAACTCCCTCGTATTCAGACATAACATGAATATGGCGACAAGCTTATTGTAATTGTGCCAGTTAAATAGAGTAGAGGTAGGGGCAGGACGGCGTCAGTCGAGTAACTGCGCGGAGGCGGCGCCGGAGCATCTAAATCGGGATCGCAAGTCTCGCTTCTCAAATACCTTGACTTCCTCAATATTACATTGAACCCGCTGAACGCGAGACCGCCAAACGTACGTCAATCCACACCCACTTATAACAGACTACAATTTGCGATGTTTTTATGTGTCAAGCCAAGAACGCTTCTGCCCAATTTATAAAGTAAAAAAAAACATAATTACGTGCGACGGCGTGGATATCCGATACAATTTAAGAAGACTCATTTGAAACCACTGTTTGATCACAATATTTTAAGCTTTCTTAACTATTATATTGAATTTAATCAAGGCATATCTCATATATTAAATTTAAGACAATTATTGTATTTTTCTCGTATATTTAATAATACTAGCAAAAGCAAGATGAATCTGTTTAAAAAATATTTTCATTATTAAACTGAAGTGAAAATCGTGCGGCTCTTTGCACCCCTCTTGTCTATATACTTTAATACTGTTTTTATTTAATTTACTTTTCTATTCGAACATTAAAGAGACTAAAAAACAATGTTTTTGTATAAGGTATGTAGTGAACAGATAAAGAGATAACCGTGATAAGCTCTACAAAAAAACATTTCAAGATAACAATAAAAGAACTCACATTGCGATGGAGAAACCGGCGCTTCGGATGTTGAGCGTGGCAGGCTGTGAACGGGCGACGCTAAGGGCGATGTCAGTGGTGACCTATTTGCAACATTCACATTGACTGGTGACTCGGGTGTCGAAGACCTACGACTAGCCTTTTCCTCCCAATCACCACTGCACCGCGATGTCTCCTCGTTTCCTTCCAAATGGGGCCTAGGTACAACATCACACACATCCGGTCTTGTAGAAACTAATGCACCGACAGGTTCATCACCTGCAAGTATTATTTTAGGAGACGATACAGGGGATTTATCCACTGCTTTTTCTTTATCAATCTTTTCATCAAAACATTCCAATGGTGGCGAAAATTCTTCAGGTAAAGAAGTAACCGGCGAGATGCTGTCATTATGTGCACTTTTATCATCTGGCACTGGCGGCGGTGGAGATCTTGGCATTCGTATGGGGGGTGAAGGTAATATTTTGTGAAACTTAATCGGAGATACATTTCCTTCGCTTGATGAAACAATAGTAGACGTTGTTATAGTCGATACACGCTCCACAACTTTAGCAGAATGAGAGTACATATCAGTTCTAGGAAGTGGTTTTATTTCTCGCACATCATCTTTTTCAGGTGTTACCAAACTTCTTGTTTCTGTAATTTGTATAACAGCGGAATGAATTTCTGCTTTAGGTGATGGTGAACTTCTTACGGTGGGTGATTTCGCACTATTAGATCTAGGAGAAGGTAGTACAGGTGCGACGTTTTTAACAGGACTAGGTGATTTCGCAACAGGTACGCTTCGATTCACTAAAGCAGTAGGCAGAGTAGTAGGTCGCTCCAAGTGAGTGTCAATCGCACCTGGAGAAAGAGGCGGAGTATACACTCGCGAAGGAACCACATATCTATCAGTTTCTTCTGGAGATTTGCGGTCTTGGGCTAAAAATTTATTTTCTATTTTTTCGTTTTCAGTTTTGGCAGGACGAGATTTATTAAAGTGAGAAGTCCAATTTCTCTGCTTTTCTATTAGTTCTTTATTAAACCGTCTATCCGGTTTCTCTGGCTTTGGAAGCACACTAGGTTTGACTGGTTTTGGCGGCGGTTGTGCAGCACCATTTGACAATTTGTCTCCATTAATTGCAGAGGCGTATGGCACAGTCGGAGGGCCATGACTTCGAGGCGGACTCACGGAGCCGGCAGAGCTGGACCGAGAGCGGGACGGAGCACCTGGTGATACTCCGCGTGTTCCAGCGAAACTGGCAGCAGCAGAAGGTGACTTTTCGATCCGAAAACCACGATTTTCTTCACCTAATTTTTCAAATAACGCTCGAGCATTATTAAACCTAGCCAAATGGCTCTCAGTCCTCACAACCGTAACGTCGGTTCCTCGCATGTCTTCGTCGTCTCTAGAAGGCATTCCTTGAAATATATTTGCTATTTTTGAAACTTTAGTGCCGTGTACACGTTTTTTGCTCTCCTCCATACTGGCCTGGCACGGCCTCTTTACTCCAATCTGAAAATGAGATAATAACGTTAGTGTGGTTCACTTTCTCATGACGTTACAACTGAATAAATAGGCCGTTTCTCCGAATGTAAAATTGATAATAAAGATAAGGTACAACAGCTCAGGTTGTCGGCGCTCGGTGCAAACACTAGCGCACACGGTGCTATTATCACTCACGACCTGACTCTGCCGTGTACCGAGTAATTTAACTTGAGATAGCGATATACTGCTGATAACAACCTTACTCATACATATTAAACGAATAGGCCATTTGAAATTGCGATCTTTCATTATAACAACATTATATAGAAATTGCAATTAAATAAATAATGGTATTAATATCAAAAAACACTTTTGACGTATCTTTTAAGTGAAACGATTCTTCTTAAATTTTTAAGATTCATTTATTTAAATCTACAACGTTCGAATGAGTTTTACTTATCATAATATCTACCGACACACGATGTGATAAGATAATGTTAAATGTATTGATAAGGTTTCAATCACTAATTAACAATGCATTGTTTTCATAAAAGTATTACGAAGAAGTAAAATATGAATATTATATTAATTTGTATAACGGTTGTCAGTGTTTTTTTGACGACTAAAGTATTTTATGCTCAGAGGTGTGAAAAAGCCCAGGCGTGTATAACTGATTTGACGGCGGAAGATTGCGGTGTAGGTCTTTATACCTTAACCCGAAACAGTCACATATTTAACTGCTGTCCGGGATGTACGCTCAATGCACCAGAAGAAGAAGAAGAAGAAGAAGAAGATGAGGATGACGTTTATTTAGGTAAGTGTATTTTCAATTCGTCTTTTATACAAATTTCTACTTAATAGTACATCGTTAGGTTTTAGTAGGTTTGGAAAACATACAAAAACGTCATATCTATAGGTAGGCTATGACAAGTAATGTCTAATTTATATACCAATACCAATAGGTAATACACAATAAATAAATGCTGATATTAATAATATAATTTCGTCTTATATTTTTAACTAGACCATGAGTGCATTCCACCCGCAAACTGCCTGCCCGACGGTTCATTTTCACCTGTACAATGCAAAGGCGATTCATTTACTGGCAGGTGAGTCGATAACATTATGAAATCGCATAACTCCTTTTCTGGAACATCCGATATATGTAGACGATTTCTATTATGATGTATGTAATATCCGTGAAATATGCAACAGAATATCTTATAATTTTTTTGCCAATCGATTTATGTTTACAAGAAATCAATGTTTATATATGTTTTCGTAAAGTACTTGTCTACCATATAATGTAAATCTCAGACCAAAAGCCTAGGCAAAAGCTCTATTTAGCCAGTATACAACGGAACAGTCGGCACTAGTTAGCATAAGCCACTAATTAATTTATATGTATCTATATATAATAATCCTTATAATGCATTGTTAAATATAATATTAAAACAACACAGATGTTTCTGCGCGGATAAAAAGGGTCGAAGAATATTTGGACAAATGTGGAGGAGAGAAGCGAGCGAGATGTCATGCGGTATGTTTTTATTACAATCGAAACTCACCTGAGCCACAATCATATTTAAGATAACAGGAAAACTCAAATCTAAACCCCAAGCATTATAACGTATGCATATCAATTTATAAAAAATAATAAAGAATATTTATAGCGAGAATTTATATTTCTAAAAATTTTGAATGACTATTAATGACATCGTGATTTCTGTATATTGTCAAAAACTTCAAGTGTCAGTCATTTTAAACATTTCCAAAAAAAACATAATGAATTTCTTTAAATATCTGTGGTAACAACAAATAAGATGAGATTAGGGAATCATCAGTCATACAACATCTTTACTTTCAGCTTGCAGCAGAGCAAGACGTAACTTAGAGGAGGAAGGAAACGTTGTGACCTTTCACTGCACATCCACTGGCGATTACGAACCTCTACAATGCAACCAAGGAATGTGCTGGTGCACTGAACCAAAAACTGGACAGCCGACAGTGACTCCTGTCCCAGAGAAGGACATGACAATGTTGCCATGTTGTAAGTATGTAAATAAGGCATAAGGTCAATGTAATGAGTGCTTATTGCACCACTGAATGAGAGGATGCAGACAATTTTCAAATGAATTATGATCATTATTCGCTTATTTATAAAATCACTTCATTGGCATGTCTTAATTTAAAAATTACTATTAGGTATATATAATAAAAAGTGTGAGCAGGCTTTAGTGTCTTCAGCGTGCATTCTCATCCCTGAGGTCGCAGGTTCAATCCCCGGCTGTGCACTAATGGACTTTCTTTCTATGTGCGCATTTTAACATTCGCTCGAACGGTGAAGGAAAACATCGCGAGGAAACCGGCTTGCCTTAGACCCAAAAAGTCAACGGCGTGCGTCAGGCGCAGAAGGCTGATTCCCTACTTGTCTATTAGATTATCAAATGATCATGAAACAGATACAAAAATCTGAGGCCCAGGCCTAAAAAGGTTGTAGCACCATTGTTTTTTTTTATTATATTTAATTCAGCAGTACTGTAGTTCTAGATTAAAAATATGTTTACCGGATTTCTAATTTATCTCCAATTATAAAGACAGTTCATCGTCCGTCGGTGAGCAATATTTAAGAAGATGCGAGAGTATCGCTTTCGCCCTATCAACCATACAGAAAGAGCAAACGGAACATGGAACTCATTTCTACGGCAATCCAACGACATTTTGTGATTATGACGGAAGTTATGGCTCTTATCAAATTCAGAATGGAATGTAAGTACACCATACCTAATTAAACAAATCTTACTGTTACAGTTTAGATAACTTCATCATCGCATTACAACTAATAACGTATATTTAAGCACTTGTAAATCTAATACGGGACAGATAACCTAACCTAACTCCTAAATAAGTGGTTTCGTACATTTTGATCTTAACAATAGAATTTTATGTGCGTATACCTATAGTGATAAATGCAGCACTATACGCCAATATTTCAGAAAGATTTTCATTCACTCCCAAGCAATAAAAACTTATTAATAATGACTTGACTGACCTAAATTCTAAATGAAAAAACGTCTGCTTGCTGAATTTCCAACACTTAAAAGTCGGTCGTCAAAAAATTCTGCACCAGTATTTTCCATGGCACAATGGAGAAGGATGAAGACCATTCTAAAATTAAATTTTTGTCCTAATAATACGCAGTGTACTTAAAAGCTTATGGGAACTTTCAGAGCCTATTGTACCGGACGTGATGGGAAAATTTTGGGATCCTGGCAAGCCATTGTGAACGAAATGAACAACATGAATTGTAGTAAGTAACCGAACCATCAACCACTACTACTACTCTATAGAGTTTACTACTTACCTTTAACCGCAACATTTCCTTAACGATCATAAGGAAGTTGACTAAAATAGAATTTGTAGCGGTCCCCACATAATCTATTAATAGGATATATGGGGAACCATTCTCAACTTTAAGGAAACTTCAATCGATTTCAGAAATCTATAATTAAACATTACTTATGAATTAATGATTAATTCATAACCTATAAAGATATTAACTATTTCTGAAAGTACTCAATTGACACACAAAATTTAAATATTTAAAAACGATGTTTTTTTATTTTTAACGTTGAGCTAGGTAATGAAAACTTCCCTCCCCACCGCAGATGTCCATCCTGCGGGGTCCGAGCCTTGACGTGGCCGGGGAGGGCTTAGTAACTGGGGTGCAAGCCAGCACCTTGGTGAAGCGAATCGGATATAGAGGGGGGCCATTCTATCTAGCCCCAGCGGCGCTTCATGCGCGTGGTATGGCTGGCCTTTAAGGCTGGCGAGGCTCGTCGAATTGACGGCGAGCCCCTAACCTCAAGTTTCTGGCGCCCGGCGATGGGGTGAGTGGCCGGGGGAGTTCGGTCCCGAGGGCGTCCCAGGGTGAGCTGTCTTACCTGGATAAAAATTAAAGCGAAAATGAAGACAAATACTTGTAAAACTACCCCAGGCGGGTCAAATCCCGCCACCTGCTCGCAAGAGCCGGTGCAAAAGTCCCACCGTACTCTGGGGGGGGACAATCTTCATGATTCCGGCGCTTTTGCCGAGGCGAGCGAGGAGAAAATCATTAGAAATAACACATGCGATAGTAGAATGATATCCACGGACCAACCAATAAACCCGGATCTGAGAGAATTACAAGAAGTGACCGTGGTGCCTGAGCGCACTCTATGTATTACGCCGGTGCCGAGCGTTTCCAGGGACATTTTTGGCGACCATCCAGTTGACGCGCCTACGTCTGATGCTGGAAGGTTATCGGATTCCTCCGCGACATCTATGATCAGCGCCAGATCACTGGATTGTACAGACCCTACATATCCTAGATTCTGGAGTTCTCGCAAACGAACCAGGAGTGGCGAAGACGATGGCGACAGTACAATCAGCGAGTCGTCTGTTCGGACCCCACTAAAAGTTGCTACAACAAGAAGAGGAAGAGGCCGCCCACCAAAAACCAGAGGGTACATGGGCTTGGCGCCTGCTAGGTCTGCTTATTTAAAGGCCAAGAAAACGGAAAAGGAAGCCCAGGCTGAGGAGGAGATCCTCGCTTCATTGACTGAGCCGAGTAAACCCGCACCAACACCAGCGGCAATGAATGCAGAAGGGGAAATTTTGACGGCAGATCTAGCGCAGAGGCGCATCGAAGCTAATCTGCAAATGGTAGAGAAAGTCGCGACTAAGTCAAAAAATCTTAAGGGTACATTTGTCCACGCCCTCAAATCTGTCGCTAAATCTATTAAAGAGGACACAGAGGTACTCGCTCAAATGTCTGTTTCGGATGAGACGCGAGCTCTTCGAAGTGAAAACGAGCGGCTTCGAAACTTTCTGGAGGCGCTCCAAAAAGAGATGGGAGAGTTGCGAGAGCTAATAAAGCAACGCCCTACAGATCCGGTTCCAACACCGGACTTAGAGGACCTTGAGGCAAGGCTCATGAGCCGCCTTGTGGATAGGATCAATGCTAGAATAGAAAGCATAGAACCAAGACTCAACCCGGAGCCTCGCATACGACCACCTCTCTCCGCTGACAAGTATAAGCCGGAGGCTGTGGCAACAACGTCGGGGTCCTCCAAGGTTAGAAAGACGACAGCAGCGCCCACTTCGAATACAGTGGCAACTCAACCCGAGGACGGCGTGAAAAAGAAGAAAAAGAAGAAGAAACCTAAGAGAAGGCAAGAGAATGTGCCTACAGGGACAACTGTCCCTAATGCTGCCCCTCTGTCACCACCGTGCCCACTGCCAGAGCTCCCTCTACTAATGAAGCGTGGAATAAGGTGGTAAAGAAAGGATTGCGCCGGAAGAAGAATGAAGGTGCTCAACAACTTCCAGCACAACCTAAGAGACAGGCAATGGCAACAGCTGCACAACTGAAGCTCCGTACGCCCAGTTCCGCAGCAGTTGTTTTAACGCTTCCGCCGGATGCCGAAGAGAAAGGCCTTACATACGTAGCAGTCCTAAAAGAGGCGAAGACAAAACTAAATCTGGCTGAGCTTGGTATAGAAGCGGTCCGGTTCAGACGAGCTGTCACGGGGGCCACCATCATTCAGGTCCCCGGGACAGGTGGTGAGGAGAAGGCGGATATTCTGGCGTCTAGATTAAAGGAGGTCTATGGTGACGGAAGAGTCCGGGTTTCCAGACCTGTTAAATCAACTGAGTTGATGATCTCGGGGCTGGATGAAACAGTCACCCCGGAAGAGGTCAAACAAGCCATTTGCTCTAAGGTCAGCTGCTCGCCGGACAATGTGAAGGTCGGTAGCGTCCGTCAGAACAGGACTGGCCTTTTTGCGGCATGGGTCAGGTGCCCAGTGACGGCGGCCAAAAAAGCTGACCGAAGGAAGGTTATTAGTGGGATGGGCTTCCGCCCGAGTTGTTCTCTTGAGGGCCCGAGAACTGAGATGTTTCCGCTGCTTCCAGGGCGGTCATGTAGCAGCACGGTGTACTGCGGATATGGACCACAGTCACCTTTGTTTTCGGTGTGGTCAATCTGACCACCGAGCAGGGAGTTGCTCTGAAAAGCCGCAATGCGTTCTGTGTGCTGCGGCTGGCCAAAGAGCAAACCATCTACTGGGGGGTAACGCGTGTTCGGCCCCAGCAAAAGATGCCCAGAAGGACGTGGACCGCGAACAAAACGGCCACTGGTGCCCCACCGATCGGGGACACAGAGCAAATGGAGATAACACCTGGTTCATAGATGGCCCTCCAAATCCTACAGGCGAACATCAACCACTGCGCCAAAGCTCAGGATCTGTTACTCCAGAGCATGGCGCAGTGGTTAATCAATATCACAATAGTATCGGAGCCGTATATGATCCCCCAGAGGGAAAACTGGTTTGGCGACCGCAACGGTTTAGTTGCGATTGCCGTTTCGTTGCCTGAAGGCTTGCCTCAAGCCTCGCTAAAAGGAAACGGCTGTGTCGCTGTTAAACTAGAAAAAGTCGTTGTAATTGGAGCTTATTTTTCGCCGAACCGGAGTATTACAGAGTTCGAGGCCTTTCTGGCAGAAATGGGCTCCCTGGTGGAATGGGCTCGACCATTAAATGTTATTGTTGCAGGGGATCTCAACGCGAAGTCGTCTATGTGGAACTCTCCGGTAACCGAAGCCCGTGGCGATGCGGTGGTTGATTGGATCGACACTCACAACTTGGTGATATTGAATCGAGGATCGGAACGCACATGCGTGCGAATGCAGGGCAGTTCTATCGTCGATGTAACTTTTGCATCCCCGGAACTAGCAAATCGCGTCTCCAACTGGCGTGTACTTACAGAGGTTGAAACGCTTTCGGACCATAGGTACATTCGGTGCCTGGTGAGTCCCCATCAACAGCTACCACCAGCAACTGGTAGATCAAATCAGCCTCCACCGGAAATAGAGCCAAAATGGTCCCGTAAAAAACTGGACTTTGACTCCCTGTCTTTGGCATCTTTGACAGAGGCGTGGTGCCCTAAGCCAAATACTATCTTAGCAGATAGAGAGGTGCAATGGTTCGGAGAGGCTTTGCGACGTATTAGCGACGCTGCAATGCCAAGGATCCGCCCTATTCCGCCCCGCCGACAAGTGTACTGGTGGTCGCCTGAACTCACCCAGCTACGGACGGCTTGTGTAGTTGCCCGACGTCACTACACCCGATTACGTCGAAGACGCCTTGCTCCACACGATCCGGAAGAAGAAAGAAGGTGCTACGGCGAATACCAAGCAGCAAAATTAACTTTGCGCATTGCAATTGGAGAGGCCAAAGAGAAAGCTTGGGAAGATCTTTTACAAACTTTAGAGCTAGACCCATGGGGGCGGCCATATAGGCTAGTGATGACCAAGCTGCGCCCCTGGCTTCCGCCACTCACTACCACTCTAGAACCGGTGTTCCTGGATACGGTAGTCTCCGCACTATTCCCGGCTAACAGTTCGCATCCAACATCTCGCGACGACCTCCACTATGATGAGGAAGTCCCAGAAGTGACGCCTGAGGAACTCTCTGTTGCAATACTTAAGCTTCAGAGCAAAAAGACAGCCCCCGGACCAGATGGTGTTCACGGGAAGGTCTGGGTCCATGTCCTCAATAACGGGCTGGAAGAGAGGTTTCGGGAGTTGCTAACCCATATTTTAAAGAACGGCCACTTTCCGAGTAGCTGGAAGACGGGAAAACTTGTATTATTAAAGAAAGAGGGTAAATCACCTGAGTCCCCGTCGGCCTATAGGCCAATTGTTTTATTAAATGAAGCAGGCAAGTTATTCGAGCGAGTGCTAGCATCCCGCATAGTAAAACACCTTACAACGGACGGGCCGGATTTGGCCGATACCCAATTCGGTTTCCGGCGCGCCCGGTCTACCATCGACGCCGTTGCAAGGCTAAGAGACGTTTGCGAGGAGACACTCGCGCAAGGAGGGGTGGTGCTGGCGGTGTCACTAGACATAGCAAACGCTTTTAACACGATTCCCTGGAATACCATTATAGACGGCTTAATCTTCCATGACGTGCCAGTATACCTCCGGCGCATGATAAGATCATACCTTTCGGCCCGTACCGTCATCTACCCGGGTCGGGGAGGTTGGAAGGAACACAGGGTTGAGTGTGGTGTTCCACAAGGGTCTGTTCTAGGCCCACTCCTATGGAATATCGGATATAACTGCGTCCTTCGTGGCTCACATCTGCAAGGCGTCAGCCTAATATGTTATGCCGACGACACACTTATCACTGCAAAAGGTCGTACATACAGAGAAGCTTGCATCCTCGCAACGGCGGGGGTGGCACAGGTTGTGGCGCAAATAAGGCGCATTGGCCTCCAAGTCGCCCTCGAGAAATCTGGGGCGGTCTGTTTCCACGGTCCAAGACGAGCTCCTCCTGACGGTACACAATTGGTCGTATGTGGTGTGCCCATAAGAGTAAGCCCCACTTTAAAGTATCTCGGGCTTGTCCTCGATTCTCGATGGACTTTTAAGGATCACTTCTCGGCACTTGCCCCGAAGCTCGCTACCACGGCTATGGCACTCTGCCGGTTAATGCCAAATCTTGGTGGGCCGAGTGCGGGGTGTCGCCGGTTATTTGCAGGTGTGGTCCGGGCGAAGGTCCTCTACGGATGCCCCATTTGGGCCGATTGTCTATTCGCTCAAAACAGGGCGATTCTAAGACAGTCGCAACGGGCGATGGCCATAAGGGTGGCAAGGGCGTACCGCACCGTCTCTTGCGAGGCAGCGTGTGTTATTGCAGGAACTGCCCCTGGCACCTCGAAGCGGCTGCCCTAGCCAAGATCTATTGGCATAGGGCAGATAGTAGAAGTAGGGGTTTCGACCCCCTTCCTGAGCACATAAACAGCTGGAGACGGGAAGCCCAAGTGACCGTCCTTCAGAAATGGATGGATGAGTTACAAGATCACAGGGCAGGAGTCTGGACAATTACATCTATACGTCCAGTGCTCAACTTGTGGGTAAATAGAAGATGGGGGCACTCTCGTACCGACTCGTTCAGGTCCTCACAGGCCATGGATGTTTCGGTGGATACCTTCACAGGGTTGCCAGGAGGGAGGCATCCCCCATTTGTCACGAGTGTGGTTTCGCAGACGACACAGCGCAACACACTTTAGAGGTTTGTCCGGCGTGGAGCTCTGAACGTAGCCTATTAACCGCCACCTTCGGATTGGACCTGTCGCTTCCAGTCATAGTTAAAGCTATGATGGAGGCTGACAGTGACGGCCCATGGAACACTTTCAAAGCGTTCTGTGAAGCCGTCATTACACTTAAAGAGAATGCGGAGAGGGTTCGGGAGTGTAACCCAGACGCCGACCCTCAACGCAAAAAAAGGCCTGGAAGGAGACGTCGCGATTACGCACGTACTCCACTGGGACCTTAGGACAGGATTGGGCAACGCAGAATATGTGCTCACACAGCAGACGCTCATGACGGAGGCACGGATTAAGGGAAACTGTTACCGCGCCTCCCGTCCATAGCGAACAGATGGGGCTGTTGGGTTTTAGTGGGTAGGTGTCCATTGCACCATACGGACTGACTCCCACACTCCCTGCGCCACTTTTAAATCGTTGCCCCGGCGCGGGGGTCAGTAAATTGATTTCCCAACAATAAAAAAAAAAAAAAAAAAAAAAAAAAAAAGGTAATGAAAACTTCCTCACAACTTTTTCTACACAAGTCTAATTCCAATAAGGCCGCTCATTGTTCTTACACTTAGTATTTGTTTTAGTATTTGAATATTTTAGCGTTGTATTGACGTTTATCTATCGTTGTTAGTTAAAGATTGTTTACATGTCATATGCCAATAGACGGAAACATAACGTTACAGTTAGTGCATTGCTAAGCGAATTCGCGGCGACCGGTTTGCGACCATGACCCGATTCCCAACATCTCGTGCTCATTCATTCTTCGTGTTCGGAATGTGAGAGTCATAGGATATGTCCAATGAACTAACTGTTCTACAGAGAAAACGAAAGCTGCCCACCTACATTTTGCCACAGCTTTAATCCGCATAGTTTCCCATACAATCATAATTATTATTTGCTCGATTTTTTTTTAAACTAAAATACTTTTTGGATAACTATAAGCAAGCCCAAATGTGTTTTTTCATATAAAATAAAATATCCATCATTTATGGCACGAGACGTTTCATTATAAAATAGGTTCAGTGGGTGCGGCATTAATGTATAATCATTTAATAATTTTTTTACTATAAATATTTAAAAAGTCTAATAACTCCTATTCAACATTTTTATTCACAGACTGCGCTCGTGACTCTGCGTTACATTTCCCGGAGCGTGGCATGACGGTGGCTGAAGTATGTCAGCCTAATGGCAACTATCGACCAGACCAATTTGGTAATGGTCGTCTCTACTGTGTGGACTCCGACGGGTACTCGCTAGAACGCAAAGATTGGCCAGAAGTTTGCGTTCAAGCCAGCAACGGCGCGGCATGATTATAAATACGAATTAAGAAGGCATTTCAATAAAAGTTCTATATGTTATACTTTATTATAATGTTAAGATCAATATTTATAGTTTTATTTTACCCATCGCTTTGTTGGATTTTTGAACTCAAAAACATTTTATAAAATATAATGATAAATTTAACTCATATACTTTTTATTTGCTCTACGGTAGAAAGGACCGAGATAAGCAGTAAATAATTTGAGATTCTGAATTGTATATGATTTTATTATGCTAAAAAGTTAGGATGGGATCATGGTAGTACATAAGCCTTATGACTTAATTCTATTAATTTCTCAACACCATTTCGAGTAAAGTTTCCAGCAGAAATAACAACTAAAGCATAGGGGTCAAAATAATACGTACTTAACAGACGTGTCACAAGTAACAAGCGACGCGCGGCCGCACGCTCGCCGCGTGCTTACAGCTGCCATCTGTAAGAAAGCATAATTATTTTAATAAGTCAATAAAAAAAATTTTTTCCTAATAAATAGTATTATAGGAACTGTGTCAGTTTTGATCACGCCCGCAGCTAAAGCACAAACCACTTAGTGACAAGGTCCTTAATTTGATTCTCAAGGAAATTAAATCGTGTTGGGAAACCAATTCCGTGGATGCACTTGCATATGCATTTATTATAAAAAAGATCATAATGCCTTTACTATACTAGTGTTTAGATAAGGTCACACAAATATGTAATTTATGTTTTATCTGGTAGTGTAAAACCAAAATTTTTATTATTTAATACGTCATGTTAGTAATTTAAAATCAATAGATGCCGATTTTATTAAAAACTAGCTGGCCTGGCGAACATCGTACCGCCTAACAGTCGATTCTTTATTTTTTTTTAATACTTATTCTGCTATTCGGGACACCGGTCTAGTTAGTAAGATAAAAAAAATAAAGTTGATAAGACAACAAATACATTATGTCAAAAAATAAAAATTTACCTTCCCGGAACCCCTCCACTAACACTTGAACTTTATGATATGGTATTAAAGTTCAAATTGACTTTTAAGTATTATTACAATTATTTTGTATGGGAATATAGAAAAGTGTTGTTTTTAGATTTTTTCTCTACGTAAGAACCATCCCCGTACTTCAAGGAATATTATAAAAAAAGAATTGGCCAAATTGGTCCAGGCGTTGTTGAGTTATGCGATTACCAACACATTTTGCGATTCATTTTTATAATATAGATAACGGATATTTTGTATACGTTTTAAACAAGAGGGAATTGATAATGATAACATAATCGAAGAACTTTTGAATTGTATTATTTCAAAACTGGGTACTTTGTTTTAACAAATTAAAATCTTCAAAAAATTCACAAAAAAATTATTTCAAAATCATCGTATTTAAATGACATATTTATAAAAAAAATAAAAACATTTAATGTACAAAAACAAATACAATAACGATTATAATAACAAACGCAGTTGTTTTGTATTTTTTATTCAATAAGGGTTAACATACGATCAATAGGTAATAAGGCAATGTTAACTTTCCGTATAGTATTACGTAAAATGACCTTAAAATTCAATACAGCCGCTACTAGTGTTCATTTCGTTTCAACATCATTGCACGAAAAATGCACGTAATTAATACTTCATTGACACTTCCGGTCAAAAAGTATTTAAACCACAGTATAACATTTAATATTGTTAAAGTCCACAAAGCTTTGTTATCAATAAACTATATTGAGCGCTATAGTTACGTAAAAAGGATTTTAACGCAATTGCATTAATTGGATTAATTTATAAATTTATCCAATAGACGACTTTAATGTTACGTATTCACGGCGAATATTCAAGTAGAAAAAGTAACATGATTGAAGTAAGAGTAATTAATATTTATGAATGAAACCGAGAAAAACCTACGTAAACGTCGACTAGTCTAACTTTCAAGTGGAACTCAGATTCTCGTGCATAAGTAACAAAATGACCATATTACATATTTACCTTACTTATAAACGCGATTAAAAAAAGAACACTAATTGCGTTGTTTTATTTTAGAAAACACATGGTTCTATCATAACAGCTAATTTTGTTCTTAAACCTTATTTCATATCTTAACTAAATCACTAAATTAACATTTCTTCATCATGAAATGTACATAGCAATTACGAATTTTCTGAAGCAAGAAAAATTTCTAACATTTTTAAATTTAAAATCTTTTAATAAAAACATTTTTACACAATAACATTTGTCAGATAATTTGCATAATGGGATCGAAGGTTAAACACGATGATTCACTTTTTTTGTTTGAATAACGAAAAAGCAACATTTGTTTTAATGTGTAGACAACATAAAATAAATACGGTCGTTAAAATTACTTGAATTACTTTCCCAGGATATATACAGTTTCCAAATCATTTCCTATTCATAACCAGCAATTTTATGTGATTCTGTGAAAGTACAAACGCATGTTTAAAATCAGTAATAGTAATTTGTAACGAAATTTTCCACTGTACTGATAACTAATAACACTAAATCAAATCAAAGTTTGAAAAAGTTACCTGGTGCGAGTTCCGTTACGTATAGTTTTACGCTTTTTTGTATGCTATGTATGTATGTATAAACTACACGACTAATGGATATTGTAAACATGTTAAGTTTTATAAAATCAGTTTTGTAGTTATTAAATTAATGCATGATAAACAAAACAAATCTATCTTTATAATACAAGAAGTGAAGACGTTGATTATGTCCTGACTAATACAAAATACGCATCCTAAGCCCGAAACATTAGACGCGACACTTCATCTCTAACATCACGTTCAGTCTTTTTCGAGCTAAGTGCACTACTGCAGCATACATCATACATATACACTGTAGTCTCGCCCTACTGAGCTGTATGGAGACGGCAGCTTGGAAGTAGGAAGGCTCTTAAGTACATACTTGTAGAGTGCGCATGGATTATGAAAAACACGGCCTATCTTAATTGCTATTAAAACTGGTTATTTTTGGTATATAGTTAATCACCTAACAATTATTTCTTCTATCAAAGTTATATTCACTAATGTCTGTGTTCTCACTTCTCAAGCGAAATCTTGTTAGAGCACAATCGCAAGATTTCTATCAGTCGTAAACTAAGCGTGCGTACCTACGCAATACAATAGAACACAAACAATATTATCCGAGAACTTGTATAATAAGGAAATTGTGAAATGTAATGTTCTATCTAATACTTATGTGGCTGAATAATTGTAGATAGCCAAAACCAAATTATGTTTATGTTATTAATTAACAAATTATTTTGATTTAGTGTTTTTATTATACCCTTTTCATTAACATTATTTTAAAATTGACGAATACTACTTGTATTTTTAGGTAGTAACGTAAATTTTCCATATTTAAAACACAATATTAGTTCGATAAAATTGATTTATTCTTCTAGACGCAGCTTCGACGCTTACTACTTGATTTTTAAATGTATTTTTATATCTAGATGGGCAAAGTTAACGAACGGCGACCATTAACGAACACAACAATCTAAAAATGCTGCAGTTACAATATTATTAAGCCAAACTATGTTGGAGCTTTGCGACATGATATTAAGATCAAAATGCGCTATATCAAATTGTTGCTTTGAAATTTATTGGTATCGAGTGGAGGGCGCAAAAGGGCGTAGGGTAGTCTCATTGAACACTTGATCACGTTACTACTCCCCTTTAAATAACACATCAACAGTACAAAGTATTTAGTAATTTACAATTTCTATAATGCAGCACTTCTAAAAAAATATAAAACATTCAATAATTTAATTAGTATATGCAACAGTGTTAGGCTAGTGGTTTAGGAATTCAGTCTTTAGTCTGAGGTAGGTTAGGCATGTAAACATTGTAACTATTAAAAATAAACACAGTTGGACAACAATGGCAGACAACTTGCATATGCAAAAGAATAATTATAAGCCGAGGTTTTTATAATAGTAGAGAGCTGGTACTTCTTAATTATTTAGTTAATATAGGATTATTTATGAATATAGATCATAAGCCACACTCAGCATAGAATATTATTCTGAATCTTTTACATTAATACTTACAGCTTTAAAACTACACATGGTTTAAATAATTTTTATAGGTATAAATTGCACTCTGGAAAGTTTGACATATTTTACACAATAATTCTATTTAAGATTAAGTTTATATAGTTTTATTTTGTGAGAATTTTTATGATCACAATGGAAACAATGCAAAAAATAAGATCACAAAAGTTCTTGAAGCCATAAAACTATATTCTTCATGAAAATGTAAATACATAAAGAGAAACTGAAGAAGAAAATAATATAGGTTAAGCATTATTTCTATTTAATTATTTGGCATGGCAAAACAGAAAAATAAAAAAATTTGGCTAGAGAACTAAATACAATAGAAAATAGAGTTTTTAATCAATCTTCAATAATTATATATTTAATGTTACTCCATTATGGACACATGGAAATGTTTTATAAAATAAAACAAAGTATGAGACGACGTGAAGTGTGGTTGTGTTGTAAATATGTTTGTAATATATTTTATATATTTGAAAATATTTTTTATAAAAAAAATCTCAAAAACTTTAAATTTTTATATATAAACTAGATTTGTACAGCAATCAGGATTAATTCTTAATTAGTATTATTAAATCGATAAAATCAAGCTAGGCGTAAAAGCAACAAACATCGGTAGGTAACCAATTCAAAAATCCGGTATTTAAATAATGTTTATATGCAAAATCTGATATTAAATTAATAGAAATTAGAAAAGCTACGCTGACCTTATAACAGCGTCACGTTTTCTCCACTAAGGTGCAATCCGGTTTGCCACATCAGAACAAGAATAAACCACATAACAAATAGTATTTTAACACAATTTCTCACTTTTCACCACATATATAAACCTTTTTATATTTTCTACAAAATGTATCTTGTTAAATTTCCACACCTTAGAACACAAACAGTCAGTAGGTAGACAAGATATTCGAAAGCTTACGGAATTCTAGATGAA